GGCTGTTAAAATGGCAGAGGAATCATTAATGAAACTTCTGACATTTCTAGACCTTTTTACTCCACACCACAGCAGCTCTCAAGTGGGTTGGTTTGGTTTGTTTTTTATTTTTTTATTTTTTATTTTTATTAACTTCCCCTTTTTGTGATATCTTCCTCTGGTTTCAGAACGACACAAAAATTATCTCAGAAACGGCTAATCTTTTCAGTCCAAATCCTGTGATAATGATTAATAAATTGAAAAGGAATCAAAGCAACAACTTGGAAACGTTCCCCTCTCCACACACACGCAAGTCAGACACCCAGGGACCAAAACAAAGCCAGAGTTTTATGTAAGGCCTAATGAGTCAGACAGAACTTATATCTTGCTCCTGCTGCAAGGATAAAATTTGTATTATAAGTGTTAGACATGGAGCAAGCTATTAATTTACTTTTTATTCATACTGTACATGTTTATAACAAAAGAACCATTAATAGATTTGCTCTGATTTAATCCGTAAAGATGTCAGATTTCCAGATAAGATCTTTTTTACTTGCTGACTACATGGAGTGAACAAGCTCCTCCTTTACAAAACTCAAGCACCCAGTGGAAACTGGTGCACTCCTATCCAGATCCTGACACCGAGCTTAAAAATTTGTCCAAATTGCCATCCCTCTCTGCCTCAGTTTCCCCAGCACTCAACAGCAACGGGACTGATCAAACCCACAGGTACACTCAGCACTTTCCAGAGCAGCACACCGCCACTGCTAGGCTTCCTAGCTTTGGGGAAGTGACCCAGGCAGCGAGTCAAAACCAGAAACACACAATAAATCAGTCACCTTTATTGCTTAATTCTAGAGCAAAGACTGGCCACAAGCTTCCCTTCCAACACCAGCTTTCAAAGTCAGCGTGGCTGCGTGGGATAAAACAAAATGGGCCCCACGTACACTCCCCAGTCACACAGAAACAAGACAGCCATGTGTGGTGAAAGCGTGCACAGCACAGCCCTCCAGATCAGGCTCCACTCTGTCATACAAGGGATCACGACTCTCTTCTCCCCAAAACAGAAGAGCAGCAATGATTTTGTTAAAAAACAAACAAACAAACAAAAAAATCAAACAGTGCTTGTTCCTACACATTAGCTGAAAATCCTTTACTTTTTCAGACAATCAAACCCCTCCCTGTTTTCTTCCCTTTCTGTGCACGCTGTTAAATCATCACACGAGTGTCTGTGAGGTGGGCAGGATGCGACAGCTGGTGACACTTCCCAGCCAGGCCCAAGAGAGCACGCTGGCACTTCTTCAGGTGACAAGGGAGAGCACCAGCCACCCGCAGGGCAGGGGAAGAGCACTATCCTGACGCAGGGGAATCTGGGCTGCTCTCCCAACCCTTAGGTATGTGGTGACAAAGTGATTTTTGCCCCCTCATGTCTTTATTCGGTAACCATTGCGGGGGTTCAACAGCTCCCACCCCTCTTGAAAACAGTAATAGTGACTTTTGAAACTGATAGGGAAAAATCAAGTCACTGCTGCCACGTGGTTTGTAGTGGCAAACTCATATAACGAGAGCTATGAACTATGCTGAAGCGGAACTAAATTCACACCAGAGCCTGTGCTGCCATCTCAGGAACTTTCAGCTAGACCCAGGTTTGCCCTGGCCTGGACAAAGCAAAGATAATCCCTTGCCCAGTCAGCACAGCAAAGGCTCTTTGGTTCAACAATAAATGTTTAGAGAAGGGCCTACAAACACTGCCTCTGGGACAGAGGACCCAGACGATAGGAGAGGTCACAGCCCCTCTTTACAGCCCTGGAGTGGCCTCCCAAATACCAAAAAAGACATATTGCCTTTTTTTTTTTTTTGAGGGGAAATCTCAATCAAATCTAATCCACCTGCTCAGTACTTGCTGGAAAGCCCCATGCTCTCCTCCCAAGTGCTTCAAAAGGAAACAAGTCCCATCTAAAGCATCAGCTGCCCAGCTCTGCTGTGGGAGAGAGTGGCTTCCTCTCTCCCAGAAACAGAAAAAAGTGGCACAGAGGAACACGGACTTTCCTCAGCAACATAACGAGCCTGCAGGAGCCAGAACTGTCCTTCGCTCTGTCCAAAGCGCCGCTTTCCGTTGGCTCCAGGGCGCTGCTGCTGCTCTGAGCCCTTTGGAAGACTCTGAGAGACTCTGGCTGGTGCACCAGCACGCTCCAGCATCCTCCGCCTGAGTCACCAATCGAGAACAAGGTACCTGGTAGACGAAGCAGATGGTCGGAGCCTGACAGCCGTAGAGAAACTTCACATCGATGACTTGGAGCTCTTCCAGGCGGATGTTAAAAGCCTTTAACTCCTTGTTCTCCCGGTCCAGGGGAATGACCTTGAAGAGGCCGTCATAGAGCCGCAGGCCGATCATCCGGCACTCTGGGTCAATGATGCCAATTATGCCAGTCTCCGAGGGACGGCCAATACGATCCTGAGTGAAAGATCCGCAGTGAGGGGAAAGGAAAAGAGCAATTAGTGCCAGAAAGACACCCCTGCCTCTGTGTGACTTGAGAATAGGAGGTACAAGAGTTCCCACCCTTAGCTGAGGAAGGTCTCCTTGCAGGCTTTAAAACACCACCTACTCAGGCATCCCCTGCTGAAAGCAGCAAGTCCTTGGCACCAGAGAGCCTGAGCTTGGCACAGCTCCCACAGCACACTCTTTCTCTCTCTTGGGAACCAGGAGCTGTCCCCGCAACCGTTTTTCTGATCCCAACCCCGTACTGCATAACCTCGGAGAAGCCACATCGCCACCCCATGCCTCTGCTTTCTATCGCTGATGGAGACCAAAACAATCACCCTCCAGAAATCCAGCGCTGTTATCAGCCTTCACAGACCCCTTGGTGTTACTCAGTGGGGGCTGATATCAGCATCTCCACAGGTCACGAGGCAAAATAACGTGGCATGGGAAGATTAAGCACTTTTCCCCCAGCACACTAACATGTTACTGACAGGACGTGCCCACCTACATCTCCTGCCCGTAACCCCCTGCTCAGCTCCACCAGCAGTGAGTCAGTGGAAGCTCAGTGCCTGGAAACAGATGGAAGATATTTTGTCTTGACAGCTGATGGAAATCATTTGGCTAATTAGTAACAAAAAGCCAAAGAAACATGTGGATTTCTGACCGGCTCAGAAGGCGTGATTTTAATCCACATAAAACCAGAACAATGGAGAATATCTACAATTATTAACAAGGTTGTGGGGCCAGGATGGTAAGAGTAGCTCCAGCAGTCATCCTTCTGGTACACAGTGTGTAGAGACTGGCCATGAAATACCGGGGGAGTCATTTTCCAGTGAGAATTCCACCTTATATTAAGCTTTGAGTACCAATTCTCTTCACAGTAGGAGTATTTCAAATTAACCTTATCATTCTACAAACTAACCCAAGAACACAACTGTAGCCACATCCTCAGTCCCTGAGCCCGAGGCTGACTCGCTGCAGGAAAAACCCTCTGGAAATACCAGTGGCAGCAGGCAAACCAGATCAGAGGTGATAGTAGGCAAAAAAATCATAACTAAAGAGGCAGAAAGCCCTCAGCTAGCCTCACTCTTGTTACTGAGTAAAACCAGCCCTAAGGAAGGGAATTTGCCCCTTTTAAGTGTTGCAGCTTCACTCACCTGCACGTTGCCGTGAGCACGGGTTATAATATCAATGCTGTCCCCATTCTGCTTGTACTCGAGGATGCAGGCATTATACTTGGCCGTCAGGATGAACAACAAATCCTTGCTCTCCCCCTGCCAAAGCAGAGCGGTGCCATGCCTTCAGAAGGGTGTCAGAGCCAGCGGCCCCCGGAGTGCCCACCCCTGCCCTCCCCCCTCCCAGAGCTGGAAGACAGCCCTCCCCTCCCCGCAGAGCACCCACCTTGGGACGAAAAAGCTCCATGACAGCGGTCTTGCCATACATCCCCACCTCCTTGACGGGCCGCAGCCCCTCTGCTGTAACCACATAGATTTCCAAGCGGGTGTTTTTGGCGATCAGCAGGTTTAAATCCTCTGCTGAGGTGAAGTGGCCTGGATAAAAGGAGAGGACAAATCACTGAGCAACCTGCAGGAGTCAGCCCCTCAGCCTCGGGCTGAGCACCGGCCTCCCTGTAGCACCCCGAAACCCCACAACACACAGCCCCCTCAGCAACCGCCTTCCCCGAGATCTGACTTTCTTGTCTTTCCCCAGAGAACCTCATGTCCTGGGGCCCTTTCTCCCGAACCCCCTCTCCAGAGGACACTGCAACACCCCAAAACACTTCCCAGGAAGGCAAAATGCAGCTGCCCACCCCACCCCCCCCAGCCCTCTGCTGTTGGTTACCCCCACCCCAAGCTCTCAGAAACCTCAAGCCTGGCCCACATCCCCCAGAGAAACCCCACCCCCAGCTCCCCACGCCAACCCCCCCGAACCTCAACGCACCCCCAGTGCCCCAACCCCGCCCCCCACCCCAGCTCCCTTAATGTCCCACAACACCCGAACAACCCTCAAGCCCTCCTCCCTCTGCCTACCCCCGGTGCCCCCCCCCCCCCAACACACTTACAAACCTCTGGGCACCCCCTCAGCACTACCGCAGCCCCCCTCCCGCACCTCAGCACCCCTCAAAACATTCACAGCCCCCCCCCCCCACATCTCGGCGGATCCCCCTGAGTCCCCCTACAGTGCCTCAGAACAGCCCCCCCAAAACCTCAGCATCCCTCTAGCCCCAGCGATTCCCACCCCCGCCTCAGGCACCTGCATGACCCCACCGGTATCCCAGACACACCCCCCCCCACCACCCCCGCTCCGGCCCCGCACAGGCCCCGGCGCCGCGACCGTTAGGCCGGGGGAGTCCCGGCACCGTCTCCCCGGCGGTACCGGTGACGCAGCCGTTCACGGCCGTTGGCTTCTGCGCCGTCACGACGTAGTTGTAGGACATGGCGGCGGCAAAGCGAAGCACAACGGAGTAAACCGGATCGGCACCGAAGCGGGGCCTGGCGCGGCCTCTACGCCGCGGCCGCCACCGCCTTTTCCGCCCGCCGCCGGCCACACGTCAGCGGAAGGGGCCGCGCGGGGCCGCTCTAGGCCGCTCGGAGGACCCCGCGGAGCAGACGAGACGGCAGGTAGGGCATGGGGATGCTCCGGCGGGTCCCTGGCACTTTTTTGGGGGGAATCTCAATTTGGGGGTCCCCTGGTTCCCCCACAACCCGGGGAATCCCCGCTGGGGAGGGGATGCTCCCACCGTGGTTCCGCCCCGTATCCCAGGAGGGGGGGAGGTTCCCGCTTTAGGGGGTGCAGCCCCCCTTTTGCCCCTTCCACTGCATCCCGGGACGTGGGGTGCCCCCCCCGCCTTGATCCCCCCGCACACCCCGAGAAGGGGTTCCCAGCTGGGGAGAGAAGCGCATCCACCCAGGTCCTGTGCTGAGAAGAGCTCCCTGATGGTGGGGTGTATACACCCTGGTCCCCCCACATCCCAAAAGCGGGTCCCTGGGTGAGGGCGGGTTCACCCGCCCTGGTCCCCCTCTGCCCTCGGGACAGTGCTCCCCCTTCCCCACTGCCCCAGGAGGGGGGAGTCGCTGTTTGGGGGGGGCGATGCTCCCATGCTGGTCCTCCCCCACCCCAGATTGGGGTCCCTGTTTGGCGACGACACTGAACCCAGCACCCCGCTCTGATCACCCCAAATCTCACCCCGTCCCCCTCCTGCCACCCCCCACCCCCCCGGGACCCCTGGGTGGGACAGGGGGCCCGTCCCCGCCGGGGCTGGACCTTGCCCTCCCTCAGCCCCTGCCACCTCCCAACAGAATTTGGACTCAGAGCGAAAGGCTGCGCGGGATCCTCCGCCATCCCCACCGCGCCCGCATGGAGGTGAGCCTCCCGGGGAAGCGGCAGGGAATGGTGGGGAACCCCCCCCCTCCCTGCTCCCCCACCCCTTCGAGCTGCAGGGGTGCCCACCCCCATGCCCCCGCCACCCCTCTCTGTACTACCAGGTCGCCAAGAAGCTGGTGAACTCGGCGGCAGGCTGCGCCGAGGACGCGCTGGCGGGGCTGGTGGCCTGCAACCCCGGTCTCCGGCTTCTGCAGGGACACCGGGTGGTCCTGCGTGCTGATTTAGTGGCCATTCGGGGCCGGGTGGCTTTGCTTTCCGGAGGGGGCTCCGGCCACGAGCCTGCCCATGCAGGTAACCACCCCCACCCCCCCCCATATCACCACCATGGGCCGGCTGCCCCCCAAAATGGCCCTGAACACCCCATCTTGCTCTGTAGGGTACATCGGGAAGGGTATGCTGACCGGTGTGGTGGCCGGTGCCGTCTTCACCTCTCCAGCTGTGGGCAGCATCCTGGCAGCCATCCGGGCGGTGACACAAGCTGGCGCAGGTCAGGGTGGCAGGGTGGGGTGTGGGGGGGGACACAAGTGGCTTTACCCCACCTCTCCGCCTCCCCTTACACAGCTGGGACCCTCCTGATCGTGAAGAATTACACCGGGGACCGGCTCAACTTCGGGCTGGCGCTGGAGCGAGCGCGGGCGGAAGGGGCCGACGTGCGGATGGTGGTGGTGGGGGATGACTGCGCCTTCACAGCCCTGAAAAAAGCCGGGCGCCGCGGGCTGTGCGGCACTGTCCTCGTACACAAGGTCTGTAAGGGGCTGCTGGTGCCCAGGGCCCCACTGCATCCCTTTGGGGGGGGGGGGGACGGGGGATTTTTAGGGGTGGGGGACAGGGCCCCAGAGTTCTCACCCGCTGCTGCCCTTCACAGGTGGCGGGGGCTCTGGCTGAGGCAGGGGCGAGCTTGGATGAGATTGTTGAGAAGGTGTCAGCAGCTGCCAAAGCCATGGGTATATGTGTGGGGCCCCTTTGCTGTCCTGTGGGGACCCCCTGGGGTGGCGGGGGGACGACACGAGGCTCCTGAGGGGGATTGTGTGCCTTGTCCCCTGCCCATTCCCAACCCCGGGGCAAAGCAGAGCCCCCCCCCACCTCCCCTTCCCCACACAGGTACCCTGGGGCTCAGCCTGTCCCCCTGCAGCGTTCCGGGCTCCAAGCCCACTTTCCAGCTGGCTGACGATGAGATGGAGCTGGGCCTGGGTGAGGAGCTGCCCCTGCTGTGTCCTCCCCCAGGCCCCCCCGTACCCTGCGGTGGGGGCTGCGTGCCCCCCATCCCCGCCGTGGGGCAGGCATCGCCCGCTGCGGGGGCTGCTCGCAGCCTGTTGTGACGCCGCCCCATCTCCGTAGGGATCCACGGCGAGGCAGGTGTGCGCAGGATGAAGGTGAGTGGGACCCTGGTTTGTGTGTGTGTGTGTCCCTCCTCCCTGCTGCTTCCTGGGACCCCCGCTCTGCCCTCATGGCCCCCCCCATCCACCCCCCACCCTCCAGGTGCTGCCGGCGGATGAGGCAGTGGAGACGATGCTGGCGCACATGACAGACCCCTCCAACGCCTCCCGCCTCCCCCTGAGCCCAGGTGAGCCCCCCCTGACTCTGTAGCCCCCCCAGGCCCCCTGGGCAGGGCTCTCATTCTGCCCCCTACCCCGCAGGAGCTTCTGTGGTGCTGGTGGTGAACAACCTGGGTGGATTGTCCTGTTTGGAGCTGAGCATTGTGGCCGGCGCAGCCGTGCGCTCCCTGGGTGAGTGTAGGGGGGGCGGGTCTTGGGTCACCAAGCTCCAGCCCTTTGGTTTTTGGGGACCCCTCCTGCAATGCGCCCCCCCCCCCCCCATCATTCACGGACCGGCCATGCCTGCAGAGAGCCGAGGGATCCACATCGCCCGGGCTTTGGTGGGCTCCTTCATGACAGCGCTGGAGATGGCCGGGGTCTCCCTCACCCTCATGCTGGTGGACGAGGAGCTGGTGGGGTTAATCGGTGAGCATCCGCCAGTGGGGATGCAGCAGAGGGTGGGGTTGTAGGGGATGGGGAGGGGTCCCCCCAGGTGCTGGGTGAGGGGACAGCAGAGACACAAAGTCAGTGGGGGGTGACCCCGAAAGCTCCCGGAGCCAGCCAGACGCGCTGGCGAGGGTCCAGCGGAATCTTGCTGAGTCAGCGCTCGCCTCTCTGTCACCTCCCGGCGATTCCAGATGCCGAGACGACGGCGGTGGCTTGGCCCAACCTGGCCACCGCACCTGCGACGAGCCAAAGACAAGAGGTACCAGCCCCAAAAGAGGGACCGGGGACTGCGCAGCATGAGGCCAGCACAGGTATGGGCAGCCCAAGTGTCATGTGTGTGTCACGTCCCCCCCCAGGAGGTGTCACCTCCCTGTGCCTCAGTTTCCCTGTGTCCCCCAGGGATGGGCAGGGGTGACATCTCCTTCCCGCAGGGCCTGGCGCGGCACGGGTGCAGCTGGTCCTGGAGCGGGTGTGCAGCACCCTGCTCGACATGCAGGATAAGCTCAACGAGCTGGACCGGGAGGCAGGGGACGGGGACTGCGGCCACACGCATGCTCGGGCTGCCCGAGGTGGGTGACAGTGGTGGTGGGACACGCACACACACACACACACACACACGATCAGCTGGGGACTTGTGGGGAGAGGGTACCCCAGGTGTCACCTCCCAGGAGTGGGGTCTTCCCTGGGACATCCCTTCTCAGGGAGTGGGAAACCCCAAACTGTTCTCTCCAGTTGGGGAGCGGGATAGGTCCCTGAGCTGCCCCTTCCTGGGGGACAAGGGTGTCCCCCCACCCAAGCTGCCCCTTCCTGGGGGACAGTGTCCACCCCCTCACCAGCTGTCCCTTCTTGGGGGACAGGGGTGTTCCCCCCCCAGCCATCCTTTTTTAGGGGACAGGGTCTCCACACACTGGGAGCCACAACCCCAAAATGTCTCTGTGTCCAGTGACAGCTGCCCCAAGGCATTGCAGGGGGGGTGGGGGGTGTGTGCACATCCCTGCTTGTCCCCAAAAAGGGCAGGGATCCCCCAGGTGACAAGGGTCCCCAAGGCCCCATGGGTCACCCCACCAGCCCCTCCCCGTGGGGCCAAGGGGAGCATCCCAGCCCATTTTCCCCGCAGCCATCCAGGAGTGGGTGCGCGCGGGGCCCCCACCGGCAGCCCCAGCCCAGCTCCTCTCAGCCCTGGCCGACCTGCTGCTGGAGAAGATGGGGGGCTCCTCCGGCGTGGTGAGTGCGGGGTGAGAGGAAATGGGGGGGCTGAGGGATGCAGGTCTTGGGTTTGTCACCCCCGCCACCACCTCTGCAGCGGGGCGATGACAAGACCCGTGTCCCGGCAGCTCTACGGGCTGTTCCTGACGGCGGCCGCCCGGCCCCTGCTCAACCGCAGCGATCTCCCGGCGTGGGCTGACGCCGTGGACGCCGGCATCGAAGCCATGCAGCGGTGAGTGCCGCCGGGCTCCGGGACGACCCCCCCCAAAATCCCTCCACAGCATCCTGCCAACCCCCACCCCCCACCCCCTCCCCTGCATCCTACACAGGTACGGAGGAGCTGCGCCAGGGGACAGGACGATGGTGAGTGCTGGCATCCCAGCAGGGACCACGGGGCAAAGCCACCTTGCTGCCCGCTAGCCACCGGGGTTGCCAGCCTGGCCGCAGCTCTCAACCCTGCCTTTTCCTCCCCCCCCCTCCATCCTCCTCCTTTCTCGCAGCTGGACTCGCTGTGCGCCGCAGCGCGGGCTCTGCACGCCCTGCGCAGCCCCGGCGCAGCCGTGCTGCCGGTGCTGGCCGCCGCCGTGGAGGTATGGGCCAAGAGGGGAACCCGGCAAGGCAAAACCCAGAGCCGGTAGCCCAAAGCCAGGCTGGTAGATTCTAAGAAGGATGTGGGCGGGGGGGTTGCTGACACCCTGTTTTGACCCCGGCAGAGCGCCGAAGCCGCGGCGGAAGCCACCAGGAATATGGAGGCTGCGGCGGGCAGAGCCAGCTACATCGGCTCAGCCCGGCTGCTGCAGCCCGACCCCGGGGCAGTGGCCGTGGCCACCGTGCTGCGGGCCGTGCTGGACGGGCTACGGAGCTGAGGGGTGGGTGCCCCTCGGTCACCCCCTCGCCTCCCTGCAGCTCCAGCAGTAACGGGGGGACGTTGGCACCACGTCCCACGTCCCCCCAATAAAGTTTTGTGATCTCCCCTGCCCTGCTAAGCTGGCTCAGAGCATCCATTCCCAAAAAGGGGTGGGGGGTTGGGGGGGTTGCACCCCATTTCTCTGGGATGTGTCCCCATGTGAAGGGGGAGAGGAGCAGGGATCCAGCAGGTCCTGGCTTCCAGCATGAGCATGACTGCTGGGGAGGAAGGAAGCTGGGCCAGGCACAAGCCTTCCCCATGGGGTTTGGGGAGGGGAAACCACGGGGCTCACATGGCCCCAAGCACGGGGTCTGGAGGAGACTCTGGGAAAGGGACAAAAAAAGCACCAGGGGATGACAAAAAAGCACCAGGGGACAGGGCAGCAGTGCCTGTTCTCCAGCACAGGGCGGCTCCAAGCTGGGGTGAGCAGGGGGACTGGCCAGTGTGAGCCCAGGCTGAGCTCCAGCGGTGGACGGGAGGGTCTGTAGGAGCCAGCAAGGACAAGCCAGGTCCCCAGAGGGGGACACAGCCCCCAGGCACAGTGGCTTGGCTTGGCCAGCACCAGGACCTGCTCCCCAGGCACCCACCTCTCCCGTCCTGGCTCCTGGGCCCCTCCTCATCCCCAGGGATGCAGGTGCAGGAGCGCTACAGAAGCCAGTGTTTTATTATGTGTCGATGAGGGTCCCAGGAAGCCGCTTGGCCGGTCCCCAGCGCCCACGGGGTGGAGGGAGAGGGACAGGCAGCCTGCTGAAGGGCAAGGCACGGTGTGAGGGTCCCCTCCATCCCTGCCACCCTGAGCCAGGCACATTCCCCACCTCCCCCCCACGCAGGAGATGGTCCTGGGGTGGGGGACAGCAGCGCTGCAGGGCTCTGGGGTTGCTCCTTTGGTAGCTTCTGACCTGACAAAGCTCTGACAGCTCCAGCCGCTGCGTTGAGGGATGGCACTGAGGGGAGGGCAACCAGTTTGGCACGGACCAAAGCCCAGGCACGAGAGGCCAACTGGAGCCAGCAGGAGCTGGCATGTGGAAGCATGAGGATGGAAGCAGGAGCATCGCGCTGCAGCTGCCCTCATCCTCCGGAGGCCAATGCCAAGCCACAGAAGGAGACAAAGAGAAGTCCTTGGCGCAACAATGGCTCTGTCAAGCCCGTTCCTCCCACAGGAGGGCAAGGCTGAGAGTGAGGCCGGCATAGCAGGCAGAGAAGCAACGGGGTTCAGAGAGCTCAGGGCTGGCAGCTCCGAGAGGGCAGGAAGAGATCGCGACTGTTGTGTAGGCGTCAGCGCTCGGCGGTGAGCAGGGGCTGTGGGGAAAGCACGGGTGAGCCTGCACCCCTCTGCCCGCCCCCGCCCCGTTCCTCCCCACCCCGGGGACAGCCCAGCCGGGGCTGTGAGGGGAGGCAGGTCGCCCAGCTCGGCTCCCCAAAGCCACCTCATGACCCTGGTGTGTCCCCACAGCGGAGCTGATACCTGGCAAGAGTCCGGGGAGTCAGCGTCAGGGCGCTTCCAGCTCGGCCTGGCCAGGGCACCCAGCACCAGCACCCCAAAGAGGAGGATCAGGAGCCCCAGCGTGTTAGCAAAGACAGCCTCAGCAGGCAGGCGCTTGTACTCTGTCGTCCCGTTCTTCCTTGGGAGGAGAGAGACCAAGAGCTTCCCTGGATGTGCCCAGCCTTCCCCTAAACCCCCACAACCCCGTACCCACCCTGCAGCAGGAGCCAGACAGGTTAACCGCGCACCTGAGAGGGGGAATCGCTCACTTCCCTTCGCTGCCCCACACTCGGTTTCACTTGATGCCACTTCTGGCACCGAGAGACGACGAGCAGCCCAAATCCTCCCTCCCTACAAGGGCTCTCCCCACGCCCGCTGTGATGCTCACAGGCTGAAGAAAAGCTTCTCGTTGATGCCCGACAGACACGAAGCCACCGACAGCATGAGGATGGTGGAACCAAAGAAGATGTGGACGGGTTTGTAGAGAGCACGGAGCCAGGCAGGAGCCCAGGGCAGCAGGAAGGCGCTGAAGCCGGCCAGCCACTGCAGAAAGGGGAGGTGAGGGCGAGGGGTACAGGGGGGGCTGGGGTGTGGAGGGGCTGGGGCAGCACTCACCTGGCAGGAGAAGAGCAGCACGGTGACCAGCCCCAGCCAGCTGTGCAGCGAGTACATGTTGGGCGTCCCGTTGTTGTTGTGGAAGCGAAAAACGGCCGCTAGCCCCAACACGGCTAAGCCAAAGGCTACCAGGGCTAGCATGCCGTGAAGCACCTTCCAGGGGAGTTTGGGGCCGCTCCAAGTGGGGGGCAGGCGGTACACCAAAGCCGCTGTTGGGCGAAAGGGTCAGGGAGGAACCGCGCCGGGGCCACGCCGCGCCGCAAGCCCCGCTCACCTGCGCCGTACAGCACCACCATGCCCATCACCATCAGCACTGGGTGCCAGTTGAACGTCCGGACGCTGCCATCCAAGGCGAAGCCCCCGCGCCAGTACTGGCACCAGGCGCTGACGAAAGCCACGCAGACGAAGCCCAGCCCGCCCAGGAGGAGGCAAAAAGGCAGGAAAGGGAGATCCGGCATCTCTGCGACGGGATGGCAGCACCTGGGGAAGAGCGAGACGCCCGTTCAGCTTCTTGTCGGGGATCTCCACCCGCACCAGTTCTCGCTGACACCCCCAGGGAGGAGCCAGGACCAAAAGGGGAACCAGGCACCCCGGGGTGGGCCGGCCCTGGCCCAGCTGCTGCTTGCTCAGGGAAAGATGCCAAGTCTGGAACCGGCCAGCTGGGATCATGCAGGGTGAAACCAGTCCTGGAGAAGCCAGCTTCCCCAGTGCCATGCCTGGGAGACAGCAGCAAGGACCTCACGGGGGGAGCAGATGTCTCCTGTAACCCCACATCCCCCCTCCCCTGGCACCCACAGCCCCCCCTGCTTCATTGTCCCCATGAACCCACTGATTCAATCCGCCCAGCACCCTCAAACCTGCACCCCAGCCCCCCATTCCACCTCCCCACTCCCCTCTCAACCCCCCCCTCAGCACCTTGTGCCCGCCCCTCTCCCCCCAGCTGCACCCACAGCACAGGGCTCACCCCAGCTGGGTGGTGAGCAGGTGCTCCTGCACCCCCTGACCCAGACCCTGGCAGCCCCAGCACCCCTGCTCCCTCCTGCCCAGCCTGCACCAGCCCTCACCCCTCCTCTGCTCCACAGGAATTGGGGGGCACCCACTGGCAATAACCCCCCACCCCTTATCCTGCTTGGGCTAGAGAGCGGGACCAGGAAAATCCGGCCCTCAGGGTGCTGCCCTCAGCCCATGGGGCTGGACTGGCAGAAGCAGGGCTGTGCTCATTTGCCTGGTGATTTGCATCTGCCTCCAGAAATAGGTATTTACGTCTCCTCCTGGGGTAGGGACGCACACACACACACACACACACGCGCACACACAGTCCTGTCCCCCGCCAGCTCACCCGTCCCACGGGACTCTGAGGCAGGAGGTGGGTGGGAGGCAGCGCAGCGTGGGGATCACGAGCTCAGCCACCCACTTGCTCCGAAGAGCTGGCATTGCTCGCCATGGCGCTGAGCAGCCCCACAGCTCCCCCAAAGCCTGGGTCCCCATGATTCCCCCAAAGCCCGGTGACATGGGGCCTGGCCCCATGGCTCCCCCAAATCCTGGGTCCCCACAGCTCCCCCAAAGCTTGGGTCCCTATGACTCCCCAAAGCCTGGCAAGGTGGGGTCTGGCCCCATAGCTCCCCCAAATCCCCACGACTCCCTTAAATCCTGGGTCCTCATGGCTCCACCAGGCCTAGCCCCACAACTCTCTCAAAGCCAGGGTCCCCACAGTTCCCCAAAGCGTGGTGACATGAGACCTGGCTCCATGGCTTCCCCAAATCCTGGGTCCCCACAGCTTCCCCAAGCCTGGGGACGTGGGGCCTGGCCCCACAGCCGGGACACCGCAGCTTCTCTAGACCTGGTAACACCGGGCCCCGCACCGCGGCTCCCCCAACACCGGGAAGACGGGGCCCTGCCCTACGGTTCCCCCGGGCCTGGGGACACGGGGCCCGGCTCCGAGGCTCCCCCAAACCCGGAACACAGGGCTCTGCGGATACTCCCGCCCCTGGGAACACGAAGGTCGGCCCCACAACTCCCCCGGCCCCGGGGCCGGGGCCGTACCTCAGCCCCGCCCGCCGCCCCCCGGGCCCCGCGGCCGCCTCCATCTTGGACGGCGCTGCTCTGGCCGCTCGTCTCGCTGGTGGCTCCCGCCAACCCGCCCTCCCGGACGGAGCCACCAGCGAGAGCGGTGGGCTAGAGCGGCCCCGGACGCACTTCCTCCCGCCTCGCTGGTTGCCGTGGAGACGGAAGATGGCGGCCGCAGGTCAGCGCTCGGCCGCTCCCGGGTTGCGGAGGGGGGGGGGACGCGGCGTGGACCACCGGCTCCTGCAACCCCCCCCGCGATTATCGGTGCACCGGGGGAAGGCAGGGGATCGGCCCCGGGGAGGCAGGGCCTTGGGGGGAACCCCGGTGGGACCACGGCTTCTTAGGGACTGGGGATGGGGGGGGCTTCTTGAGGACACAAAGGCACCAAGGGCAGGGAGAGGAGGACCGTGTGGGGGCTGCGTGAAGGGGACGTGGGTCCCCCCTGTTCCCCCCTCCATGTCCAGCCCTGTGGTTTCCTTTCAGAGGAGGCAGGCCTCTTGCCAAAACACGGGGGAACACCCCCCACCTCCCCCCCCCCCCCCCCCTTCATTCTCCTGGACCCCCATCCATCTCAGCACTGCCTTACCTCCCTCGGTGTCACGGGTCCCGGCCCGGCTTTCAGCTCTACCCCCTCCCTTCTCCCCACACAGCCCAGTTCCTCTGCTGTGGCCCCATCCCCTCCCTGACCAGGCTGCCCCAGGCAGGCTGTGCTGTCTCGGGGTGGGGTGAAGCAAAGCGACGCTGCGACCCAGCCTGCCCAAACCTGCCCCCGTAGCGTGGCCTGCTCAGCACTGCCCATGCAGTTTTAGGATTTGTCCAGCATGAGAGGTGTGAATAAAACCTGCCTGGGTGCTGCTCCTGGGGACTCGCATGTCTCCCTCATCCCTGTATTTTTTCACATCTGTTTCCTGAGATCTGGGATCCCCAGGACTCACACATCTCCCTCACTCCCATACTTCTTCACATCTGTTTCCTGAGCTGTGGAGGGGAAGCTGTGAGGCTGGAAGGTGGGAGGGAGAGACCAAACCTGAGCCCGCTGCCTGTGAGAGGAGAGGGGAAGCAGCTTATCTGTGAGACGAGGAGCACAGCTCTGGCGTGCTAGAAGCTGGCAGGAGCTGCCGTTGCTTTGACCCTTCCTTTAGGTTTCCTGGAGGAAAAGAGCTGGTTTGGGAGGTGCAGGGAGGGGTGCATCCTACCCTGCCAAACAAAACCTCCTCTCCCTTCTCCAGGTCCCATAGGGAGTGGCAGTGCTGAGCGCCTCAGCTCCGGACCGTGAGCTGGGGATGCCGGGGCTGAAGGCTCCAACCCCCGGCGAAGGAAGATGCTCCAGACCAGCAACTACAGCCTGGTGCTGTTCCTGCAGTTCCTCCTGCTTTTCTATGACCTCTTTGTCAACTCCTTCTCTGAGCTGCTTTGCACGGCCCCCGCTGTCCAGCTCGTCCTCTTCATGTGAGTGCCTAGGGCAGGCGTAGCAGGCAGCACAGCGGGGCAGGAGGGCTGGGGGGATTCTCACCACATCTCTCTCCTCCTGCAGCATTCAGGACATTGCCATTCTCTTCAACGTCATCATCATCTTCCTCATGTTCTTCAACACCTTCGTCTTCCAGGCTGGACTGGTCAACCTCCTTTTCCACAAGTTTAAGGGAACCATCCTGCTGTCGGCGACCTACCTGGCGCTCAGCATCTCCTTCCATGTCTGGGTTATGGTAGGACAGTTTGGTGTCCCCCTGCAATTCCCTGTGCAACCTCCCCCTCCTGCTTAGGGAAGGAACCTGCCCCATCCCAACCCCTTCCCTAAGGGCTGAGACCTGCCAGAAAAATCCTGTTTCCCCAGGGGAAACGGCTCCCACACTGGGGTAATCCCTGCTGAAGTCGGTGACAGCAGTTCCTGTTTTACCTGGGATTAATCCCCAGCAAACGCCAGTGCTCAGAGCCTGGGGGCAGCCCCCTCCCTGCTGGCATCGAGCAGTGCCGAGGGCTGGTGGGGGCCCTGGCTCTGTCCTGGCAACGTTTTCCCCTTCTCCCCACCGACTAAACCTCCCCTGGCCCCTGGGTGCCCTCCTCCATCGGGTTCTCATCCCCTCTTCCAGCCTCTGAGCGAGGGTCCGTTCCTACCCTGCTCCCCTGGGGCAGGGGGGAAGCATTTTGAGGTGGGCTGGGGGCCGCCCTGGTGCTGCCCACGCCATCCGGGCAGGGGATTGACAGGGATTTGCGGAGATCTGAAGGCTGAAGCTAGAACAGGACCCGGCTCGCTGGCTAAATCCCCTGAGCTGCTTAACCTTTGGGCTGGGGAGCTGCTGAGGGGAGCCGGAGGTGCGGGGTGCTGCCCCCCAAACTAACGCAGGGGTTATTCTCAGCTTCTGTCTGTCTGTCTTCCTCAGAACCTGCGGTGGCGAGACTCCGGCCGCTTTGTGTGGACCGAAGGCTTGCAGACCCTTTTTGTTTTCCAGAGGCTGGGTAAGAGCTTGTGGTGATTGCAGGATCCCTGCTGGAGTCCTGCCCTTTTTGGGGGGAGCCTGTGGGGGCCCTCCCTCACCCCCCATCCCTCCCACAGCGGCCGTGCTCTACTGTTACTTCTACAAGAGGACGGCGGTACACCTGGGCGACCCCCTCTTCTACCAGGACTCGCTCTGGCTGCGCAAGGAGTTCGCCCAGTTCCGTGGCTGATGGCTCCCCTCGGGCTCTGGGTGACCCACCGGCTGCCCCCTCAGCTCCCGCCGTCTCACAGCCCTGTTCCGCCTCGGCCATCCTCCTCCTCTTCCTCCCCCAGGGGGGAACCAGGCGCTAGCACAGCTCGTGCGGAGTCGGCGGAAGGCTCATGCTGTGTCTCAGCGCCACAGTCCCCGCTGGGACTTGAGGTTTTTTTGTAAACACTGAAGAAATAAATTGGCTGCGTTTTCCAGAGGCTGCCTGGTGTCTGTGCCCCACGCCAACCCCCCCCCGGCTTTTTTCTCCCATCCCAGTAGGCCTCAATCAGATCAGCGCTGCCCTTGCAGCCACGGAAAAAGGCTGTTCCCACCTTGCAGTTCGGCCCAACGTAGGAACGGAGGGGGTGCAGGTAGAATTGGGGGAGCAGCCGGGGCTCCCCGAAACCTTTCGGCCGGCCGCGGGCCTCGAACCCGCGGTTCAGGGGCTTAGTCCTCCCAAACCATAGAGAGAGTGGAGAGAGCGGCCGGGGAGGTGCTTTCCCGCCCAGCGCTGCCGTGGAGGCGGCGGCGGTTCCCATGGAGATGGAAGATGGCGCCCAGGAGTGAGTGAGGGGCCGCGATGGGCCGCGGGGCCAGGACCTGGGGAAGGGGACGGGGGGCAGCGGGGCTTGAGGTGGGGCCGGGAGAGGGTCAAAACGCGGCGGGGGGTCGGTCTCGGGAAGCGGGGTTCAGCGGGGCGGGGGGGGGCCGGTCCGTGCCATCCCCCGCCCCCCCCCGCCTCACACCCACAGGCCGCCAGCGCTCCTCGGCGCCGCTGCAGGTCCTGCTTTTCCTCAACGGGTGGTACAGCGCTACCTACTTCCTCTTGGAAGCCTTCGTCTTCGTCTACAAAGGTGAGACCCCTCTCACTTTGACGCCCCGCCCGCCAAAGGGCAGCCACAGCCCCCCCCCCCGGGGTGTGGGTGCAGACCCTGAGGTTGGGCCCGCAGTGCTGCTGCTGCCGTACCCCTTCACCAACCTGGTGCTGGACGTGGTGTTGCTCTTCCTCTACCTTGGCACTGAGGCCACCCGCATCTTCTTTGGTAAGTCCTGAGGACGGCAAGATAATGGTGGGGGCCCCCGGGGGTGACACAAGGCTCCATATCCATCCCCCCCCCTCACATATTCCCCAGTGTGACACCAGGCTCCAGATCCCCCCTACAACCCCAAAACTGCTGGGTGGTGCCATTTAAAGCATCCCCCCCACTGCAGAGACCTGGCCCTGTGGGGGGTCACCCCCCTAAACCACATTTCCCCTCCGCCAGGGTCCAAGGGCAACCTGTGCCAGCGGAAAGTGCCGCTCTCCATCAGCCTGGCCCTGACCGTCCCGGCGGCTGTGATGGCGGCCTATTACCTGCTGCTGCAGACCTACGCCCTGCGCCTGGAAGCCATCCTCAATGCCATCCTCCTCCTCTTCTATGCTGTGGAGCTGCTGCTGGGTGTCCTCGCACTGGTCTCCTTCTCCAGGTAAAGGCTACGGGTGGTGTGGTTTGAGCCTGCGTGGCAGCCGAACACCATGCAGCCACTTTCTCCCCCTTCTCTTCCAGCAATGAGAAGGGACAGATGAGCCAGGCTTGTGGTTAGAGATAGGACCGGGAGGGGGAAATCACCCTTTATGGTCACGAGGAAAAGGCAGACTCGTTAGCGGAGGCAAAAAAACAACATACATTTATTACAGACACTAACAACACGTAACAGAGTAGGACAGTGAAGTGAGAAGCATTGCCACATCTTGAGAACACCTTCCCCCCACCCCTCCCTTCTTCCCAGGCTCAGCTCTGCTCCCGATATCTCTACCTCCTCTCCCAGCGGCGCAGGGGCAGGGAACGGGGGGTGCAGTCAGTGCTGCCACTTTCTCCATCTTCGGTGGGGGGAGCTTCTGGAACTTCTCCCCCTGCTCCAGCATGGTTCCCCTCTCACAGCAGACAGTCTTCCACAAACTTTTCTCTGACATGAGTCCCTCCCATGGGCCGCAGTGTTCCCCACACTGCTCCGTCATGGGTCACTAACTTTCTCCAACTGGATTCCCTCCCACGGCTGCAGCCGTTCCCGAGCTGCTCCGGCGTGGGACGCCCCCCCATGCTGCAATCCTCCCAGCGCTGAATTACAGCAGTGGGGCTACCTTTTCCCACAAGATCCTGGCCTCCTTCGGGCACAGCCTCTTGATCATCAAGGTGAAAAACACAGGCCATAAATCAGTGTCTGCTCCACCGTAGATCTTCATGGGTGGCAGGGGGGGGCCGTCCTGCCGTCTTACCACAGGATACACGGGGGGTCTCTGCTCCAGCACACCTCCCCCCCTCCTTTCTTCCTCTCTTCTCCCACTGACCTTGGTGTTCACGAAGCTGCCACAACTCCTCCTCACAAGTCCCACTCCTCTTCACCACATCCCTTCTTAAATACGTTATTGCAGAAGCGCAGCTGATGGGCTCAGTTTTCAAGCAGAGGTGGAGCTGTCTTGAAGCTGGGGGAGCTTTGAGAAGCTTCTCACAGGGGGCCACCCCTATAGCCCCCTCCCCTGATACCAAACTCCCCCCCCACTCACTCAAACCCAGAACATCAGGGAAGCTGGGTGACAACCAGGGCGCTGCTGGAACCGGTGTGCGGTGAGCTGCCGGGCCAGTTCAGCACCAACACATCCCCATTTTCTTCCCTCCTCCGCAGCGTGGATTCATACTGAAGCCTCACCACGCCAAAGGACCCGGCCCAGAGCCACACAGGTACGCGAGGCAGCGGGGAGCCAGCAGCATTCCCCATCCAAAATAGGGTGGTGGGGGGGTGTTTGCACCCCGTTTTGCCCACAGCACCCACGAACGACCCGCCAGGCAGCACCCAACCCGCTGCCAGCCAGAGCTTGCAACACGCAGGGCAGTTCGAGGTACAGAGAATCATTATTATTTTTTTCTACTGCCTTCTCAAAATAATTCACTATTTTGCAATAAATATTTATTTTTACCTGGTGCCTGGGCACATGGCTTCCCCCCCAGGGTAGCGTGAAGCGCTCGGGAGCTTCCAGCACCACACTGCTGCCTGAACCACCTCGGGGGGGGGGGAGGCACAAAAGCCCCTCAGAAGTGGCAGAGGATGGGCGAGGGGCAGCGGGCACAGAACGACTAAAAGCCCCCAAGTGCTGCTCTTCCCTCCCAGAGTGACTCTAAAAACCTTCCCAACCCCCCCTCTTTACCTCAAAGACCATCGTAGGGAGGAAATGTGACAGAAGAGCCCTACAGCACCATATAAAAGATTGACAACGTCATCAAGTTTATTACACAATTTCCAACCTATCAGAAAGACAAACAAATCTAGTCACTGCGAGCAGGAGGGGCAGCGCCTCGCTGGGTGGTTAATAGGGGTTTGCTCTGCACTTTTCCCCACTATTTGGAAAGAAACTAAAAATTTGTGTCGTTAAGTAAAAAAACAGAACTCTCCCACCAAGCGCTCCCCCCTCCCCGGCACTCACCCATTAAGCTGGCACCTCATGGTACTTTACAAGATTTTTTTTTTTTTTTTTTTTTTTTTGTTTGTGTATCATTTCAACCTAAAAAGACCTCTGGAGCCAGATTGCTCCTGTCCAGCAACAGCTCGGAGGGTAATGCCACCTTGTCCGGCAGCCCTGGGGACTGTCACCCGCCCTGGAAGTCACCCTGTGTCTCCTCAGCTCACCCCGACCACCCCCACCCCCCCGGGGCTCACTCTCTCCTGCTGGAGGGGGTCTCGCAGTCCCCTTGAGCACAGAACCCCCCCCTCAAATCACCGCACTACCTGTTAGGAAAGGCTGGTTGGGGGACACAGGGCCACAGCTGAAAAAGGGAGAGCACCCACGGGGGACAGGCGGTCCCCGAGGGGAGCTGGATGGGGGTGCAGGGAAGGTGGGGGGGGGGAGGGTCACAGCCTGCCCTGCCTCCTCCCCTTCCTCTAAAACAAGGAAGGTGCTGCGGGAGAGGCTGGTCCCTGCCGGCGCAGCTGGTTGGGGTGGTGGCAACACTGGTGGGGCAGAGGGAAGGGGACCCCCGTTACAGGGAGGGGGGTGGGGACAGGAGGAGCGTGGCACAGCGTCCTGTGGGACAGGAGTGTCCCCAGACAAGGCGAGGGGATGGGTACGTGGCAGACGACCCCAGCGCCGCTTCCAGCCAAGGCAGGCGCCTCCAAACTGAAGGGTCCATGTGTCCCCCCCCCCGGCTCCCAGAGAGGAAACGGCTCACAAACCTCCCTCCGTGGAGATAAAAAAAAAAAAAAAAAAAAAAAAAAAAAAAGAAAAGCACCATTTCTCTTTGGGTCCGAGTGTCCGTGGAGCAGAGCGGGCTGGCCTGGGGTGCAGGCGTTCCCCAGCTCCCCGCCTCTCTCCCGGGAAGCGGTGAGTGCCGGCAAGGGCTCAGGCCCCCCAAGGCCACGAGGTGTCGGTGGGAATCCCGCCGGGAAGCGGCACGGCTTTCCTCGGGCGCCCGGAGAGAGCTGGGGGGTGGCAGGGAAGGGATGAAGGGCAGGGAGGGTGGTGGAGCGGCCTCGGTCACGTAGTCCTGGTCGAGGTGAGGAGATACGAGTCCATTAAAAACCACTTAACTGCCACATTCCTGAGGGGAGAGAGGAGAGGAGCAGTCAGAGCAGCGCCGAGCAGCCTTCTCAGCCCTCGCTCGAGGCAGGAACCCCGAGGCAGCTCACCTGTCTCAGTGGTGCCGGTCCCTCTCTCTGTCCCTGTCCCGATGTCGCTCGTGCTCCCGGTTCCGCTCCTGGAAATAGTCCTCGTGTCGATCCTCGCTGTGAAGCAGGTCCCGGTGCCGCCGGCTGCTTTCGCGGGACCGGCTGGGAGAGCGCTCCCGAGATCGGTGTCTTTTCCTAAGCCAAAAAAAAAACCAAAAAAAAACCACCACACCAAAGCTTTTGGTCACCTCAAAGGAGGATCTTGCTGGGGTGGGGGGGACAGAGCAAAGCCTTAAAACAGGGTGCAACAATGAGCCCCGAGAGCCAGCGGTACCTGGAGGAGCTGCTGCTGGCGCCCGTGCTGTAGGACTTGGCTTCAATGCCGTGCAGACAGTCTTTGAGGGAGGAGAGGAGGACGCGGCACCGCTCGTCGTTAGCGACGCGTGACTGCTTGATGACGGCGATGGCCGTGAGGAGAGTCTCGATGGCGTCGCTGTAATCACCTGGGGAAAAAGGGGGGGGAAATAGAGCTGAGGGACCTGCCGGGGGGGGGGGGGGAACAGGGGGACATGATGGCAGTGGGACACAGTCACCGTTACCTGCGCTGGCACCGGACACTGCCTTGGAAATGGCGCTGCTGGAAATCGCTCGGTTCCTGTTCATGATCTCCTCAAACTCCCCTTCGCTCACAGGGGGTGGCGGTGGGCCAAGCTCCCGGCTGCGTAAGAGGCACATGTTGAGGGGGGTGTGTGTGTGTCAGCATAGCCCTGTGTGTGTGTGTGTCGTCGCCCCCCCCCCCGTTTGGTACCCCCACCCCATCTCACCTGCTGTGGTTGTAGGGAGCCATGGCCTTGCCGTAGGTGTCCGGTGGAGGACCCAGAGCCGCGTTGGGTGGGGGGAAGAAGGCAGGGTTGAGGTGCAGGGCTGGGGGGACAGCCCCCGGGGGTGGCACAGCCAGGTGGGGGGGCAGTCGAGGCGGCGGGGGCATGAGATGCTGATAGTGGATGCCGGGCGGAGGCGGGGGGACACCGAAGCCGGAGGAAAGGGGAGGTGGGGGAGGCATGGGAGGTGGGGGGAGCCCCATGAGGGGCAGAGCGGCGGGGGGGCGGTTGAAAAAAGGCAGGACGGAGGGGGGTTTCTCCACGCGGGCAGGCGGCAAGGCGTTCTCCGTCGGCGTGGCGCGGCCGTCCACCGAATCCACAGAGTCTCGGGAGTGAGCCCGCGGCGGCACACCTGCAAGAGACACGGGAAAGAGCCATGAGGCGTGGCCGGAGGAGAGCCTGCAGATCTCGGAGACCTCCTCCTCCTCCTCCTCCTCCTCTTCCTCCCCACCCGCAGCAACCAGCGCGAGGACCGTCCTTCTCCCGCAGCCCCAGGAGGTCCGGCCTCAGGAGAGCTCGAGGTGCTCAGAGAAAGATCCAGCCAGCCAAACGTAGCCTCCGCTTCCACATGCCTCCAAGAAGGCACCAGCTCTCCAGCAAGAGCCCGGGCACACTCACTCCGGGCCAGTGGGGCTCTGCAGATGCCACCGAGCAAGCGGGTTACAGGGACAGAAAGCCAAAAGCCACAAGAAACGGTGAGAGATCCCCAGCAGAGAGGTCGCTGGGTCCCCGAAGATATTAAATGACCCAGAGAGCCTGCAATCCGCGCACGGGCTCAGAAAGGCCCGAGCGTGGAGGAACACGAGGGGACAGGACCCAAGTGCCGACAGCAACGGAGCTGCTGGAGAAAGGAAAACTCGGCGCCAGTCTGGCCTCAAAGAGAGGGACAGGAACCCTTGTTGTGTCCAAAGAGGCTTCAAGGATGAGACAGGAGAGGTAATGACAGAGGACTGCCTCTGCCCAGGCCTTGCTGCTCCAACAGCCGTCAAGCGGAGCACCGTTCGGGCACCGGTGGTCCCGAGCCGGCGGCAAGGGTTCCCGCCGATGGCAAAGCCCCCGGGGGGCAGCCCCAAAGTCAGCCTCCCTGTGCCCAGCCGGGCGAGAGAGGAGGGAACACACCCTGCTCCACCGAAGCGCGAGGGCAGGTCGGGACCTGGTCTAACAGCGCCCAGCGCCGCCAAGCAGCGGATCACGGCGGGCACTGGAGCTGAAGGGAGGGTGCGAAGGTCAGGGCTATCCCACTGCAACTCGGCTGGGGCGCTTAGAAAGAAGGGCTTTTCCTTGCGTGAAATGGGCCACGGGATCTACAATGACCACAGCTGGTCAAGACCTCCTCAAAACGCTCCTGTCAAGACAGTCCCTGCGGTTCCGCAGAGCCCCCCGGCACGGGGCTGGGGCGTCACATCGCTGCGGAGTGAGGCGAGGACCACCTATTGCCATTGTAGAAAGCCCACGGCCAGGCCCCAGCTGGAATATTGCGTCCAGTGTTGGGCACCTTACCTCCGCAGGGATGGACAAATTCTGGAGGAGATCCAGAGAAGAGCTACTAATAGATATGGAGGGTCTTAGCTATGTTGATAGGCTGAAGAGCTTAAGCCCATTCAGTTTGGAGAGGAGGAGGAGGAGGCTACGAGGGATCTTCGCAGTGTGTGAGCACCTAAAAGGGGATCATAAAGACTTGGGTCAGGATCTAATCAGACTCAGCAGCAACAGGAAACAACCCCCAGAGACTCCTGGCAGCATCCCCCCCAACCCCGAGGTCTCGGTGGGTCGGCCCTGACAGCTCTGCTGGGGATCTGCGGGGCCCACGGGAGATGCCGCGCAGCACGGAGGTTTCCCCCCCGACCCATGGCGTGCCTTCGCCTCACTCACGTTTGCGAGCCTGCGCCTCGAACTGTGACAGGTTCTGTCGGGTTGCCAGCCTCACCTCCACCTTATCCCCATTGAGGATTTTGCCCGGCAGGAGCTCCAAGAGTTTGTGAACCGAGTTCTCAGAGGCGACCACCACCTCTGCGTACCTGCGGGAAAATCCGGCGGTCAGCCAGAGAGAGCCAGCCCCAGGCAGGTCCCCCCCGGCCCCAGGAGGGGGTAGGGACCCTCTGTGACCCCTCCCTGGGGCTCCATCGCCGGCATTCCCAACACATCCCACTGCCTTTCCCAGCAGCTGAACCCAGTCTGGTGTTACATCTCCCCTCCTCCCTTTCCCATATCGTTTAGGAGTCTCTGCTTTACCACCCCAGCTCCAGGCGGGCTGCGCATCACCTGTGCCAGCTAGGAATAAACACCGGTTGTCCCCTCAATGCCCCCCAAACACAGAGGACGTGGCCGTTGAGGACCTGGCTCCCCCATTCCCCCACGTTCCCCCCTCTCCTCTCACCCTTTTGACTGGCCATTGGCTCGGTTCTCTGCGAATTTCAGCTCCACCACGTCATAGACACCAACCGAACGGATGGTCTGGATGAGCTGCTGGTCAGTCGTCCACTGAAGGGAAGAGGGGAGAGGTCAGTGTCAGCTCACGCAACCCTTTGCAAGGCCCTGGTGCCCCCGGGCTCAGTGCTCAGTGAGGGGGGACTGGGACAGGGTACTTGAGTACAGAGACCCTACAGGGAGTTTAAAAATCAACCTTGAGGCTGAAACGGGCCCAGGACACGGCTATGAGAGATCACTCTGCACTCTGGACAAGACAGAGCTTTCCCAGAACTTTCCCTGTATCCTGCACCAGAAGGGGACACCCCTGCACAGCCCCAAGGAGGTAGAGCCAGCAGCCAGTGGGGCACTACAGCCACTGGTCACCTGCCCCTCAAAGCTACGAATCCCTTTTCCCTGAGGACCATGAGGTCAAGCCCAGCTCACAACGCAGTTTGAGACACTGGGTCAGCGCAGACTGAGGAGGAACAGCACTCCTAAAGAGCCCCGCAGCCCCTCAGGGGGTTGCTCTGGAGGTCCCCCTATCTGTGTACACACCACAGGAGACCCAAAATGCTCACACAGGTGATCTGGAGATCCGCCCCACCCCCACGCAAGCACAGCCAGGCAGTGATCCCACTCACCCAGGAGAAGCTGCCCACGTAGACGGCAGCTCTCTTGTTGCGCAGCCCGCTGTACGTGTACAGGATGGCGGGAGATTTGCTGTTGGGTTTGGGGGACGGCTCCTGGCGGATCTCCGGGGGTGCCTCCGAGCTGCTGGTGCGGCTTTCGGGGGGCTGCGAGCTGGCTGCTAGCACGTCGTCGTACAGATCCATCTGATCAGCATTACTGAACTCAGAGTCCTGCGAGAGGAGACACCGTGAGCACCTCGGCAGAGGGGAGATCCCGGAGCGGGGTGAAACCGTAGCTCGGAAAGGGACCTGTGGGCTGTGAAGAGCCTAAACGGGGGCTCTGGAGGACTGTCCCATTCTGCTGGCATCCTCCCACACCACCCTCCACCCAGCAGAAACCAACCACCAACCACCCCAGCAGACATTTAAAAGTCACCTCACGGTGCGGCTCTGCCGCAGGTGCCCCGCTGTGCCGGGGGGCTGCGGAGGAACTTGCGGAACCTCCTTTGCGGTTTGCAAACCAGTCGCCCCAATTCGCCGAGCGCCAGCATGCCCGCGCTCTTCTGAGGCAGCACGAGCCGAGTTCCAAAGGTTTAAGCACCCAAACCACTTGTCTTGGGTCCGCTCACAGTTAGGTGGTGGTGAATCACTGCCACGAACGAAACCAGGGCTCTCACAAGCCGGCTCCTCATGCCTGGAGCCCTGTCCCCTCCCCTCGGTGACATGCCGCCGGGGTGCGTGTCCTCTTTCAGCACTTTTTTTTGCAACAACTCCCCACGCTTCCCGGCCCAGCAGACCCCTCTCAGCACCACGCCACTCTTCCCTGCTATTCCACTGCCCTGCCAAAACACTCCGCGTCTTAAATTTCCGACCACCCCTCCCCTCTGAGATCCACCACAGCATCCACTCTTCCTCCCGGGCAATGTGGAAATCCCTCTCGCGCGTCCCAGCGTTAACAGAAACCCCACAGCACAGGGGATCAACATCTCAGCAACAAGGATTACCAGTGTCCCAAAGATGGGGCGATGGGCTCTGCTTTGCAATGCTTGGCATAACCCTGGAGCGTTTTGACACATAAGGAGGTGGAGAAAAATACTCCAGGAAGCAGAACCACAAGGCTTCACCCCACTGGTGACCAGCACTGGCTTGATTTTTCCTCCCCGCTAACTTGAAGCCTTTTGCTTTTTCATCCGCCCCTCTGCTGAGCGCCAGCCCACACCTCACACGAGCAGAGGATCAGCTTGTGAGGATGTCACCCGCCCCGAGCACCGGGGCAAGACGCGACTTGCTGCTCCGGGAGGCCACCGGGAAGCAGCTCGCCTTTCGTAAGTGCGTGAGGGCAAGAGTTCAGCGGTGGAAAACCAAACCGCCTTCAACAGACGAGCCTCTCGGCAGGCACACGCTTCAAAACAAGTCCAGCCTGGAGGAGGTGGGGGGGGGGGGAGGTTACACACCTGCCCGGGATACGCCATGGCTAGCTCCCTCATTTTTGGGCCGGCAGAGCCATCTTCAGGGTAGGAGCTCCGCGCCGTCTGCATGCACAGATGCACACAGCTCCCCTCCCCTCGGCAGCGCAGCCTTTCACGGCATGAACCAGCCGCCGAGGAAGCTCGGGAGCTGTGAACTCAAGTGTCCTAGATCTGCCTTCCAATTCCCACTCTGTTCCGGGCTATATTTAATTTAGAGTGTACAGCGAGTGCTGTGTTTACTACGGATCTTCAGACTAATTGCTCGCCCGGATTCAGCGTGCGCTGAGCATCATTTGGTGCTACAAATTACTACGTTCGTATCTGTCCCACAGGAGCAGCGCACAGGTCCTGTGCAGCACAAAAATAACGGAGGCACTGCTCCCAAATTTTTAATTCCAGAACTTCAAAAGCAGTTCAGACAACATCATCTGCTAGAGATAGCGCGAGGTGGTTAAATCCCCTACACTGATGCTCAGGGAACTGCACGCATAAAACACGGCCCTTTGTGAGCTCAGGGGAGAGGTGGGAAGGGTGCTCAGCACACAGCTTTCAAAAGGTCACAGAAATATAAAACCCAAACCATTTTTCCCCAGACGCTCTTCTTGACAGCAGTGTCCATTTCTAAGGCAAGCCGTAATTTTTGCATCCGGCTATTTCAGTTGCGGAGCTGATAAAAAAGGTTACGAGAATTTGAGCAGGGTGCAGTATTTTTGTACTCATTCTCAAAACAGCTCAACTGTTTGTTTAATCCGCCTCCCACACTCCTACCTCCACCAAGTGCCTTTGGACACGGCCCAAGGCTGGAAGATTTCTGCCTGAAAGTTTCAGAAACTTGAAAATAAAAATAGAGGGGGGGCAGAGCTAGAGGAGATATTGCTCGGAAGCCCTCACTTATGCTACTTAAGGGATACTTCAGCTTGGGAGTTTTTGGAGACCCTCTGGGATCTCTAAAAAGGCTCTCCTTTAAAAACTAACAGCTTGATGAGGGGGTGGTGTAGAAGTACTCACAGTCCAAGCGCTCCCAGACCACTCCGCTGGTCTTTGCCATCGCCGTCGCGCTGAATTTGGAGCCCGTCGCTCAAAACACGTGGTACTGGGAAGTTTCCTGCATCACCCACCGCCCCACCGGCTGCAACACCTTCACCACCGTTCAGACCCCGACACAGCCAACGCACCCCGAATCCCCACATGACACCCCGAGAGGTGCAGGGGGAGGAGGCGGCCGGGCACTGTTGGCAGGAATCGCCACGTGTGCTGCGGGATTCGGGAACACGGGGCAGCCAGGGCACCTTCCTGCCGCGCTTTGCTCCCACGTGGGCAGATCAACTCTGGTTAATGAGACGCTGGAGCCGACGACCTTGATAATCACTTCCAGCTTTAAGAAGCTTCCACCTCCTTGGCCGTGTCAAAGATCTTTTGTGTACCGTCCCTCAAACCCTCCAGTTCTATCTTCCCACGCTGCACAGCCAGGCTTGCTCCATCCTCCTCTCAACGCTGCTTAACTTCTTTACTCCCAAAGACCCCTGAGACCAGATCTGACCCGTCAGAGACCCTCTCAGCTCCCCAGCACGTCAACTCAAGCCACTCTTTTCATCACCCTTTGTGCTCCAGGCCTGCCGGGGGCTGAGCCTTCACAGGAATGCCTGTCTGGACAGGGCCGGCTCCGCAGAGTGCCTGGGAAGCAGCAGCAGATTTCTCCTGTTAAGTCCCCCCACCTGCTTGTTGTTTCATCGGTTGACCTCCGAAGACGTTATGGACTTTCCAACTCACACATGCCAACGTCACAGCTCTCCTCCAGACAGAGGATACCACATCCACTTTCCCCGTTTCCCTTTGGTGTTCAGAGGAATCGCCATAAATGAAGTTTCCCGGTTATTCTCTGCGCTTCAAAACTCCAGCCCAGTGACCTCCATGCATTTACTTAATCTGCACCTTCCACTCGTGTTCCCCCAGCTCTCCCTTCTGCTCCCAAGCCCACGTACACCTATTTCCCTATTCTGCTAAAAGCAAACTGCATAAAAACATAACAAATAGAGGCCATTCCTAAGCCAGAGCGGTTCCGTTTGGTCCCAGCACAGTACTAGATCGTTTAACACACAACGAAGCGGGTTCATTCCGGGAGTTTGTCAGGAAGGATGCAGGAAGCGGTATTTCAGAGTCAGAGGGTGCCTGGGCAGGGCTGCCTGGCTGATACAGGCCACACGGATGTTTGCTTTGCACCTCGTTTCTCTAATGAAGTTCCCGTTATTTTGGCAACGTTACAGCCGGCTGGGACCCTGCCCTCCTCCAAGGCAACTGCTCTCAGTGGAGAACTCCTGCTTCTTCCCCAGCAGCGGGAAAACATCGCAGTCCCCTCGCCTCCGAGGCCGTTTACACAGTTTCCACCATTTCGCTTTTCCCTGAAGGTCCAACCCACAGCGTATTCTCACCTGATAACCTCCCGCCTCCTCAGAACAAAGGGGTTTATCACCTTCAGCCCTCTGGGAGCTCACGGCCGTTCCTTCCTCCTCGCGTTTTGCTTCCAGTTCATGCAGCTTGCCCTCTAGCGCAGACCAACTTGCCTCCGCGGACTTTCCGTGGCCATTTTTAGTCTTTGAATGTCTGTGTTCACACCCAGATACCCAAACCATCTGAAATCTGCTTCTCTAACAGCTACACCTTCCCCCCGCCCCCCGCCAATTCTCTGTCATTTCTACCCACCAGTCCCAGACAGCCCCAGGGTGGGAGAAGTCGCACACGGGTCCCTCTCCGACCGCAGCACGTCCCTGTCACAGCTTCCCAGCCTCAACCCTCCCGTGGGTTCAGTGTTCTGGGTCCCCTCACCTCTTCCCAGTTTGTATTTCTTATTCCTCCAACAAGGCTGCAACTATCCCCTTCGATCCCCGCTCTGCCCAATGTTCCGACCCAAACCCTACCTGCCCCTCCCAAATATTTTAGGACCAGCCATACATTGAACCTGCAGAAAGACCCTGTATTTCCCGCTCAAGGTGGCAGCCACCAGGATTTCGGAACGATCCCAGCCCTTGGTTCCCCACTCTCCAGCACTGTTACCGCCCTTTCCCAAGCACACTGGTCACATCTTCTGCCTCCACTCAATATTTATGCCCCAACCGGCAGCTACATCCACGTTAATCACTCCAGTGCCTTGTTAACGAGTTGGCTGATGTTGCTTAGAGTGTTCTCCACCCACCCTAAAAAAAAAAAAAAGGGGATTCTGGAGCCCCAGCCCCGCAGCCAAGACGCGTTCCTCACCTGGTTGAACTCCTCGTCGGCGTAAATATCGATCAGATCCACTCCCTCGGACATATTTCCAGAGACGGGAGCAGGAACCCGGGCTGGGACCGGGGCGAAGCGGGAGGAGGGAAGGTGCACTGCAGCAGGGCAAGGGAGGGGGAACAATCACTGTGAGTGTGTGTGTCCCCAAAAGCCCCCTCTGCACCCCCCAGAGTTGCCCACAGCCCTGAGCCACCCAAGGGCCGCAGCAGCCCCTCAAATCTTTATCTGGGATCCACCCCCCTCCACCCTCATTGAGGGTGACCCCCAAGGTGGGGTGGACACACACACACACACAATGTGGCTCCATTCCCTCCCCCCCCCCCCCCAAAACCCTCCCACACCCCTGAGGGGGGCGGGGAAACAACCCCCCCTCAAGTGGGCAACCATAACCTGCCCCCCCCTCCTTAACTCCAACCCAGGGGCGCCGACCCCCCCCCTCCCGGCGGTGAACACCCCCCCCCTCCCCACACACGTTCCGGGCAGCCCCTCCCCAGTAGCGAGGTGCCCGGGGAGTTGGGGGGGACACACACAAGACACCTTACCCTCTCCCCCCCACCCACCGGGGCCGAGACCGCCATATCGGCCCGCCGCGGCCCGCCCCTGCCGAGCGGCGGGAGCCGGGGGGAGGAAAGACGGGGACCGAGGGGGGCGGCACTGGGGGGCGGTGGGTGACCCCCCCACCCTGTTCCCGCTGTGTTTTCCTTTCTCCCCCTCCCCGGCCCCGGCCCCGGCCCCGCCCGTTACCGCCAACAGGCCCCGAGCGCGCGCGCCAACCGCGCTCACCGCCACCGCCAGCGCCGCCGCGCCACGCCCCTTCCGGGTCTAACCCCGCCCCTTCCGCCCCGCCCCGCTTATCTCTTCCCCCCCCCCCCCCCCTTTTCCCTTCTAACCACCGGGTCATAAAGTTGAGCCGCCCTCTGTCACAGAGCGGCCCGGACGGGGCCTAGAGCGGCCGCGCGGGGCTATGGCGGCGGCTAAGGTGAGAGTTGGGGGGAGTGGGGGGTGGTGTGTGATACTGGGGGTGAAGGGGCGTTACTGGGGGCCGTGGGGGATCTAGGGGTGAGGGGGGGCGGGGAGTGTGTTGTGGGTGGGATGAGGGAATCGAGGGCAGGGGGATCTGGGGGTGTCGTGGGATGGAGGGTTGGGGGCAGCGGGGTCTGGGCAGTGGGGGCTAAGTGGGATGGAGGGCAGCGGGGTCGGGGGGGGTGGGATATGGGATCGGGGACAGAAGGGTCTGGTCTGGGGGGGATTATGGAGGGGTGGGGGCAGCAGGGGCTGGGGGTGGGGGGGTGGGATGGGGGGATTTGGGACAGCAGGGGATGGGGATGGGATGGGGGGGTTATGGGATGGGGGAGCAGCAGTTTTAGGGGGGGTAGGATGGGGGATCATGGCCAGTAGGGTTTGGTGGGGGGGCTCCCTGTCCCCCCTGTCCCGGGACAGCCAGCCCTGACATCCCCTGTCCCTCTCACAGCTCCACTCCCTGCCCGGGCGAGCTCCGTGCCAGCACATTTGGGGGCTGCTCTGCCTCTGGCGTGGTTACCGCGGCGACTCCCCGAAAGACTCGGGGAAGGACGTACTGGAGATCCCTTTGCCCCCCTGGCAGGAACGTCCTGACGAGCCACTGGAGACCAAAAGAGCCCGGCTTCTCTATGAGAGCCGCAAGAGGGGGATGCTAGAGAACTGCATCCTGCTCAGGTGAACTGTGGGATGCCCCGTCCTCTGCCGCTTGTCCGCCTCCCGGCTGTCTGTCCTTCCCCACAGCACCCTGGCAGTTTGTCCCCTGCAGACAGGGGCGGGCGGGGATGGCTTGTGCTTAACAGGATGATAATGTCAGCCCTGGAGAGCTAAGGGAGGAAGAGGTGTAGCTGCTGCGGAATTCAGCTCCCTAACAGGTTTTTAATTATGAGGGAAGAGCCCTGAGCATTGCGGGAGAGTTTGGTGGGGTAATGCAGAGCTGTAATCCAAAACTTAAAGGAGATGGGATGTTGCTTAGAGGATAGAAGGCTGAGGCGTCAGATAAATCACTGCAAGAGCTTTGCTCGTGTGGGATCCTACGATTGGAGGAAGCTCCTAGCTGGTGGTGGAGGTGAAATCCTTCGGGAAGGACATGCGTAATTTCTGGGACATGTGGGTGAGGCACGGCCAGTCGGGTTTGGGGATTGAAGTGGTGGTTAACGGGGAGCAGGCTGGGGTTTGAGGCAGGTCACTTTGGAGCCAGCTCCTCCTCCATGTCTTCTGGCATCGAGCTGGGTGCCAGCCCCACTCTCCCTACAGTCCCCCGCCCTCATCCTGCTACATCCCCTCTCCAGCCTCTTTGCCAAGGAGAACCTGAACCACATGAACGAGCAGCAACTGAACCTCTACGACCGGCTCATCAATGAGCCCAGCAACGACTGGGACATTTATTACTGGGCCACAGGTAGGGTGCAGCTGCCCCTTGCCCTGCCCACTCTGACGCTGAGGCAGCGCAGGCTTTGCTGGGGCTGCGCGTGGTACTGGGTGCCTTGGGGCAGGATGGGGCCGTTCTCTTGCTGCCCCTTTTTTATACATTTTTTTTTTTTTTTAACCGCAGAAGCAAAGCCCACGCCAGCTGAGTTCGAGAACGACGTGATGGCCATGTTGAAGGAGTTTGCCAAGAACAAAAAGAGGGAGCAGAGGCTGCGGCAGCCGGACTTAGAGTATCTATTTGAGCCACCCCGCTGATGGGGCGGCCGCCTTCCCCTTCCCCATCCCCTGGAGCAGAGGAGGGGTGCGGGGCCCTGTGGATACTGCTGCTCTCCCCGTGGCTCTCCTCCTCCTCTGGCAGCAGCTCCCTCGGACTCAGGGCATGATAAATAAAGCCGTGGCTGCTAGCCCTGTGGCTCCTGCTGCGCCGTGGGAGCCAGGCTCTGCTCAGGGGAGGCAGCAGCAATCCCAGCTCGCTCTGGCATGTGCCAGCTCGCTGCTGTCTCCAAGTTCAAGCTGTCCCTTTGAAACCCTTTTTCTAGGGACCCCAAGGGGGTGACCCCACACACAGGAGGGCTGTGGCCCCTTTCCGCAAGAGGTTGGAGTGGGGCATCCCGCTCCCTAGTGTCATCTGTGGGGTGTCCCAGGCAGCGGTGAAAGTCTCCCTGCGGCCACAGTGTCTGTGTGTCACCATGCCAGTAACCGGGAGACGGCGTCACCATCCCAATCCCCGCTTCCATGGGGACATTCCAGAGCCACCCCTGCTTCCAGGCAGGCAGGGAACCGCTCTAGGACAGCCCAACCATGGCGTTTGTCCGTCCCCGTGCCAGCCTGCGGTCCTGGGCGTGGGACTCGCCGGGCACCGCCTTGCCCTCGGCGAAGGCACGCACTGGTGGAAGCGCAGACCTGATGAACTTCTACGCCACGACCTACGCGGTGGCTTATGGTAGGGTGTCCCGAAAGCCTCCCCGAATTTTGGGGGAGTGGGGGGCTCTTTCCTGGAGGCTGAACCCCCTCTCCCCACTGTCACCCAGGCCAGCCGCCTTTCCATCCCCGCCTTGGCCCCCACACCGACACCGGCTATGTGTCCAACAACCGCTCGGCTGTCTCCCGCCTGCTCTGCCAGCGCAGCGCAGCAGAGCGGTACGTACCCCTGGTGTGTTTGTGGGGGACACACACACGAGTTTTGGGGCCACTCCGTCACAGCCGCGCTGGCCTCCCACTGCAGCCAAGACCCTGCCACGTCTACCATGGCTGAGCACTTCAAGCCCTTCTGGCTCCCTGACGGCCGGAGCCTCCTGCCCCGGCACATCCACCAACCGGGGAGCGGGTACATTCAAGGGTCCCCCCTTTCCTGCCTCCGCGCCGGGGCGGTGAGTCCCCAACACACACAGCTCCTCCAGAGGCCCCCAAAAACATCCAGGGACTATGGTACTGAGAGCTGCTGCACTGGATCTGCCCAGCCAGGTACGGTTTTGGGGGTGTCGGTGGTCCTGGGACCAGCTCCAGCCCCAAGAGGTTTTGGGATGTTAGTGATCCTGGATCCAGCTCCATTGCCAGCAGGTTTTGGGGCATCAGTGCTTTCAGGGACAGCTCTAAACCTATGGAGTTTTGGGGTATCAGTGGTCCCAGGGCCAGCTCCAAACCCAGGAAGTTTTGGGGATGTTGGAGGCCCCCTGCCCTGTGCCACCTGTCCCTGCCCACACCCAAACGCAGGGGGACAGGCAGGGTCCCCAGGTTGTATCCAGTGCCATGACACCAGGTAACGCCGTGGCTGGCTGTGGGGCTGAGCACAGTCTGGGTTGGGGACAGGGCTGGGGGACAGCGGGGCTCCCCCCCTGCCCTGCCCACCCCCTGCAGATCTCCTGCAGAAGACAACCATCGGCACCAAGGAGCAGTCGGGCTTCACCAGGGCCACCCCGAGGAGCGACCGTGTCCTGCCAGCCCTGCCGGCCCAACCCGTGAGCCCCGTCCCCACCGTGTCCCTTGTCCCCTGCCAGCCCCTCCCACCCCTTCTGCACCCCCAGGGAGCCTTTTTCTCCCTCCCACAGCTCAGCGTCAGCATCACCACGACGGATTACCTGCCTTCCGTGCACAGCCATGTAAGCGGGGCAAGGGGAGGGGGGTGACGAGGCGGGACCCCCCTGCTAGCAAAGCTGGGGTGCAGTCAGGGGACCCCCGTGTCCCAGTCACCCCATCTCCACCCTCGGACAGGGTGGTGAGAAGCTCCCGGTGCTGTCAGTGGGCTCCGAGCGAGGCAGCGGGTTCAGCCAGGAGGTTTCGACCTGCCTGGGCACTGCGGTGAGCAGGACCCCATCCCACCGCCCACCTCCCTGTGCCCTCCTCCTCCTCTTCCTCACCTGCTGTCCCCACACAGGGCTTGCCCACCGTGGGCCACCCCGTTGTACTCATCTCCCGAGGGCTTCAGGCACCCCGAATGACCCAGGCCAGTCTGCTGGGACAACAGGTTGCTGGGAGGAAGGTGGGTGCAGGCATGACCCCATCCCAGTCCCTCCTGTACCATGCACCCAACCTCCTTTCCATCCCCACAGGAGCCATCGGGGTTCACCAAAAACAACGGCCAGTATGTGACACTGTCCCCTGCAGCTCCAGGTGAGTTTGGGGTGACTTTGGGAAGGAGGAGGAGGGGATTGTCCTTGCCCCAGGGGGGGTGTGTCCAGCCTCCCCATCCCGTCTCTCCTGGATTTTCCAGCTCAGTGTTGGCGGGATCCAACCCGGATGGCCAAACCCATCGGGGGCATCCATCCCCAGAGCCCCAGCAGCTTCAGCACCAACAACCACCCCACCGGGCTGGGGGACATCGCTGGCCACCTCCTGGCGTAGCCCCCCCCACCCCGGGGTGGCCCAACACGATGCTGCTGCACCCCAGAGGTCCCAGCCTCAGCTTCTTTGGGGACCCTCCCCCCCCCCCCCCAAATCTTTGGGAGCACATGAAATAAAACCCCCCCAAACAGTCACCCCTGGCCCCTCGAGACCCTGTGGAGGGACTGTGGCTGCCCCCCCCGCCCTTGTGTAGGGGGCTGCCTGCACCCCGAAGGCTGGCAGGAGGATCTGGGGAGGGGGACACACACACACGCATAGCGGGGGTGCCACTTGGCCAGCAGCCGCTGGAGGGCTGTACGAGCCCAGTTTTCCACGCTGGTTTTTGGATGACACAGCTGATTTGCGGCGGGGAAAAAACGGGGAGGGCTGGCTGGGGTGGGCAGCGGGAGGAGGAAGGGGACCCCCAGCCTGTCCAGCAGGACGGGGAGACACTGGGTCGGGGGGGAGAGGGGGGTGGGGTGTGTGTGTCAACTTGGGGTCTTCATCCACGCCCGCCCGGGCCGTGGGGGTGCGCAACCAGGCTTCGCCGGGGGGGGGGGTCCCGAGGGACGTGGGCGATCGCAGAAGGGACCCTCACCCCGGGGGAAATAGCGGGAAAAGTGTAAGGGCGTGGCAGGGCGTGGAAATGGGGTGGGGGGGTGGGAAATGGGGGGGGCATGCCCGCATCCCAGGTAACCCCTCCCACTGGGCGTGTCCTTCCCGCCCCTCCGCGCTCCCATTGGCTGCGGCGCGTTGCCGTGGCGACGGCGTCGGGATGCGGGGGGGGGGGGGGCGGGTACCCCGCCGCGGGGATGGGGAGCGGCGGCTCGGCGGGGCGGCTGGTGTCGGCCGAGGGGCCGGAGGGCGAGGAACAACGGCTGGAAGTACAGAAAGGCCGGATCCCCGCCGCCCTTTGGTCTCAGAGGGGGCTGCGGAAGCTTTACCTGAGCGGTGTGGGGCTGCGGGATGTGCCGGCCGAGCTGGAGGACCTGCAGCACCTCCGCACCTTGGCCCTGGATAACAACGAGCTGATGGAGGTGCCCGAAGCCCTGTGCCACTTGCCCTGCTTGGCTTACCTCTACCTGGGCCGCAACGGGCTGCAAGAGCTGCCGCCCACCTTCGCCCGCCTGCAGAGCCTCCGCTGCCTTTGGCTGGAGGGGAATTTCCTCGCCCGCTTCCCCCGCGCCCTCCTGAGCCTGCCCGACCTCCGCAGCCTCCAGCTGGGTGACAACCGCCTGGTCCGCCTGCCCGCCGGGCTGCCCCGCATGGCCGGCCTGCGAGGGCTCTGGCTTTACGGCAACCGTTTCGAGGCGTTTCCCCCCGTCCTGCTGCGTATGGTTCACCTCCAAGTCCTTGACCTGGACCGCAACCGCATCGCCCACTTTCCCGACCTGACCTGCCTCTCTGCCCTGCACCTCCTCTCCTACGACCACAACCCCGTCCAGCAGCCCCCCTGCGTAGGGGACGACGTTCAGCTGGTGGGCGAAGGGGCGCAGGAATTCATGGAGGCGCGGCAGGAGCGCCTGCAGAGCCTCCAGCACCAGGAGGAAGAGGGGGAGGAAGGCACTGAGGCTCCAGCAGCAGATCCTGGGGATGGCTCCCCACCGCTGGAGGAGGAGGAAGGCACCTTGGCAGCCCTGCCGGCCTCCCCGGGGGAAACATGAGCCACCGTGTTGTAGATGGATACCCCCGGGGATGTGTGGCAGGGGGATGGGGAGCCTCCCCTGGGCTCCCAACAACCACCCTCCCCCAGCTAGGGCTGGGGAAGAAGGAAGCCCACAGCCTCCACGTGAAGGAAAACAGATGATCCGAGGACCAGCAGCTCCCAGTTGGGACAGTGAAGAGCTGCCGGGCTCGTGGATCACCGTTGGGATCCATGAGCCCCCAACTTAGAGCATCCCATGTAACCACAGGGTGCCTTGGATGGGGGGAAACGACTCTTTGCCGTGACGGGTGACCCCCCCAGACCCCACTTGCCTGCTGGGCAGACCCCAGCAGGCAGCACAGTGCTGCTGAGAGCCCGGCAGTCCCCAAAAGCACAGGGACCTTCCTACCACGCACTGCAGCTGCCCCACCACCTCCACACGTGGCTGGCTCCGTGGGGCCGGACAGGAAAAAAAAGCAAAGCTGATTGCATCCATTCCATGTGGACCTCTGAAGAATGGCAAGGTTTGAGAGCAAAGGCACAGACCACTTCTCACCAGCAACACCCCAGTCCTGCTGCTGGAATTGGGCTGGGGGAACAAGAGGTCTCCGCCGGGCTCCTCCCGGCCGTCAGGTTTGGGAAGGAGCTGATGAAAACTCTGCCCGTCTCAAGACTGGAAAGGGTTTTGCCTCTCTATGGGAAGAGGAGCCCCAGCTCTGGTTTTGTCTGCCCCAAAACGGGCACCAAAACCAGGGCTCTCACCTTGCCTTTCTTCTTTCCCACCCTGAGTGCCGTTTGTACCAAACACAAGCAATAAAAAGCACAAACCCGGTGTGAGAGAAAAGTGATGGGGACTGTTCTCTGGGTGGTGGGGGCTGTGTCAGGGAAGAGACTGTTTAGGAGCTGCTCGAAATGCAGCAACACATCCTGGTGCGAGACCACCAGCTCCTCTTATTTTTGGACATTGGAGGGAGTCCCGTTTTCCTCCGCCTGTCTCCAAGCCGTGCTCCCGCTCTCCACCGAGCCACCCAGCTCGGCCGCACCGGCACTGAGCGTTCCCTCCGAGGGCTGGGGCTCGCTGGAGGTTCCAGACCGCGCATCCGCTTTTAATTGCGAGGGGTTTTGGGTTTGGTGGCTGGGAGGCAGCCAGCACTCCTGCCACATCCTCTCCCGTGCTCACGGGGAGGATGCTGCCCAGCTTTTTCTTCTCCCCCCCCCGCCCCTCCTCGCTTTGCGGTGGGAACCGTGGCTATTTTAGACGTGGTGGAGCATCCTCGGCTGTGGGATGTGCAGGGTCTGTCAGCGCCAGTCCCTCCAGCAGCGGAGGCTGATGAAGTCGCTGTTTTTCCAGCAGTAACGAGGCCCCACTTCCTTTCCTGCTCTTCCCCCTCGAGTTCGGGTCTGCCCGTGGAGGCAGGGACAGGTACAGGCTGTCGGTCCCTCTCACCACCCCAGCAGCCTTCACCGTTGTGGCTTGTAGTGGCCATCCCGGCTTGGGGCACCCCACCCCACCCTTGGGGGTGCTGATTATGGCAGAGGGTGACTCCCGGCCCTCAGGGGTGCTCGGGGTTCATGCCATCGATCTGGGGTGCTGCTGCTTTTCCTGGAGAGACAGCGCTGCTGATTAGCAGGTAATTATCCATTGCCCCACAGGGTGCTGATGCTGGCAGAGACCCTCAGGACTCTGAGATGAGCATTTCTTCCTCAGCACAACCTGTCTGCTGCCTCCAGCGCCGCGCAGACCCCCGCCACCCGCTCTGTGCTCGGCAGGGCAAGGGGTGCAGGTGGCCCCGTGTGCCACCAGCCTGTCCCTGATCCAGAAGCTCTGACACCTCGGAAGGAGGGGGGTGTCCCTGCCCACCCAGCCTTTCCCAGCCCCGGATTTCAGTCTCTGACTGGGGAAGGAGCTGGGTGAGGGGGGTCCAGGCATCGCCTTGGCACAACACCGGTAGCAATCGGCGCAGCGACACAGGGGCCAGAAGCTGCCGCAGTCAGCGGATCCCTCACATGTTTCTGCTACGCACAAGGATTTCGGGGACGCTGGCATCTCTGAGCCCCAGCACCCGGCGAGGCGTGTGCGCAGTGCATCATCCATACGTCTGTCTCTATATATATCCCTGCCTACTCGCCCATCCCCGCGTACGACGGTTTGTGGCCTCACCGCAGCTGGGATCACGCTGCTATTTCCATCTGCTCCCCTTGGCTGCAAACACAAAAGAAGGGGCTTGGAAATGCTGCGGCTCGGACCGGCTCCGGGCAACAGGAGCACCGGGATCGCTGCACGGGGCCAAGCATTTTTTGTTTTGTTTTGTTTTTTATAATTTTTGCTGTGTTCAAAGACATAGCAGGATAAAAGAAACCCAGCTCTGGTGTAACGCAGCCCAGACAGCAGCCAGGCTCAGCGGCACCAATGCCGGCGGTAGCTTGTTGCTGCCAAAAATCTCCAGGTTTGGCTCAGCTGGGCATAAACTAGAGCCTGAATGGGCACAAGCAGCAGCGACCTAGCCTCCACCGAGACACAGGAGCTGGCCAAGGGACAACCTTTTCCCCTGCTGTCACCAGCCACTTCTACCACTGCATCCCAGCACCTGAAAGGCAGATCCAGAGGGATGCTCTGGGCATGGAGGACACTACTCTCCTTCCATCCCTGCGTTTGGAGTTTCTTTTATTTATTCAAGACCAACATTCAGTGAATTATTTAACACAGCCACTCGAGCCTGGGCGGTGACAGCCAGCACCCCCGGGCAGCCACGTGTCCCCTGCTTCACCACAGGCATCTGCTCAGGATGTGACCCCCCCACCTCTCCCCCCAGGAGCCATACTCTAGTTCCTAACTGGCACATCACCCCCCCAGCACCCTTACCCAACTGGGACAAGGACTCACCATTCTGGCCCAGTTGCTGTCCACGGGGACCAGCTGTCTGTGTCACCCAGCTCCATGCATTGTCCCCCAGGGCTGGGGGGGGAACACACCCCAAAACCCCCATCAGAACCCCAAAGCCAGGCAGGCTCCTTCCTGGGAGCTGCCTCCCAGCACAACCACCTCACCTCCAGGCAGAGCTCCTTGCTCTTAATGAACTCTCATTAATTCCCCTCATTAACTGCCCTCATTAGCAGCCCCTGCAGGTTGGCCAGGTGGCTGTCCTTGTCCCCACTTTTTGCAGGGACCCTTCAGAGTGTTCCCCCCCCCCCCCCCGTTGTGCCCCCTTCACCAGGGGTCCTTGAGCACGGCCTGTCCCATCCTCCCCCCTCCTTGTGTGTGCAATGGCGGGGTGATTAGTGCTGAAGGGGTGTTCAGTGCTTGGGGGGGTGCTTAGCGCAAGGCGGGTGCTCAATTCTGCGGGATGCTCAGTGCTGGGGGGGATGCTCGGTGCTGGGGGGGAGGATGCTGGATGCTGGGGAGATGCTCAGCGAGGTTCAGGTGACACTGTAACCCCGCCCCCCGCCCCCCCCGTCCCCCCCAGCCCACAGATCAGGCACGCTGGCAGTTACTGACTGTCCTTTATTACCGAGAGCAGGGGCTGCCTCCAGAAAACGAGGGGCCCCGCTCCCCAAAAATAGGATTCTGCAAAGAAGGCGCCCGGACCCGCACACCCCGGCCCTCGCCCCCCAGCCTCCCCCCACGCTGCCAGCCCCAGCCTCCGCTGCCATTATTAGAAAAGGGGGTGGCCGGCCACGGTCACCCCCGCGCAGCAAAGCCACCGGCAGCGGGGTGGCATCGTCATCTGGGCATCCCCTTGATCTAGCCGGTCTGGGCTTTTTTTTTTTTTTTTTTTTTTTTGGTATTTTTTTATCTTTTTTTTTTTTTGTCTTTTTCTTTTGTCCTTTTTTTTTTTTGTCTTTTCTTTTTTGTTTGTTTGTTTGTTTTTTTTCTTTTTCCCAGTTTTTCTGTATTTTACACACCAGTTGGATGTTACCGTCACATGAAGAAGAGAGATACCTGAACAAGATAACGGCTAAGAGCTCTAGAGTTAAAAATGAACAACACAAGCCCCGGGGAGCTGACTGCAGACAAGAAACCCTACCCGGAGCAGCGGGGTGCCCGAAGGGCGATGGGTGGGCACCCACCTTGGCACAGTCCCACCGGCGCCTGGGCTACCCCTGCCCATGGGGAGCCCCCAGGGTTTGGGGGGGGGGGGTCCCAGCACAGCCCACCACGGTGCCTGGTTTTGGGGTGCCCTGGCCCTGCTGCCCCTGGGCTCCGGCCCCTTCCCCAGGTATGTAAATCTCTTCTTTTATGTTAAAAAAAGAGAGAATATGATAAAAATACAAATGTCCCTAAAAGCATTATTATTACTGTAGTAGCAGTATTATGACTTCTCTCCAGATTGTCCAAAATTGTCTAAAGAGGGACTGTGGGGGCTGCTGGACCCTTCCCGGCTGCAGCCCCCGGACAGTCCCGGTGCCACCGTGTCCCCACATGGCCCCAGAGGTGTCAGGGATGTCCCCAATCCGGCAGGAGAAGGAACAAGCAGCTGGGCACCCCGGGGACTTTTTTTTTGGGGGGGGTGGGGGGGTGGTGTGTGTTCTGGTGCAGGGTCCCTCTGAGCAGCAGAGAAACCCCATGGAGCACCTCAGGGGGTCAGTGGGTGCCCCCCTGCCAGCACCCTGTCCACCCCCCCGCTCCCCCCCGCCCCCCGCCCCCCCCCCAAGCCTGGCGGGGTGGCATTAACGCTTGGGGAGACACCCAGGGATGATGGCGACGGGGTGAAGCACCCTCCCTCACTAAAACCAGGCTCCCGGCTGTACGCAGCACCCCAGGGGACATCCTGGGGCCTTGGTGGCACCTGGGGGGGTTGGGGGGGTGGCTTGGTGACACAGAGGGGTGTCAGTGTTCTCCCCGTGGGTGCAGGAAGGGCGAAGGGTGGTGGGTGCCATGGGAGGGGAGCAAGAAGACTGAGGATGGGGGGGACAGCCCCCCCCCCCCCCCCCCCCCCCCCCCCCAGGTCAGGCAGGGTGGCTCTGTGCTGGTGGGCACCTTCAGGCTTGCTTTGGGTGCCCCCACACCCATGGGTGGCTGTGCCCTACCTGACATGGCAGCACCCACCTCTCCCCTCCTCTGGGAGGGCTCGGCCGATGCCCCTCCGTTCAGAGGGAGCCGTGAGGCTGGGGGGGCTGGTGGGGCACCCTGGGAATCCCCCCCCTCGCCCCCCCCCCCCACCTCAAAAACACACACACTCCGGCCACCGCGTCCTTGCCTTGTGCCAGTCCTGACGGAGCAGCGGGACACCGAAAAGTGTCACCTGCCCGGGGATGGGGATGGGCAGGGGTGTGTCACCTCCCACCCAGCGCTGCCGGGGTCCTGCCAGGACCCACGTCCGCCGTGGTGAGCCACCGCCGACCCCGCTGAGTAACCCCATCTGTCACCAACCCACCCCCCCCCCCCAACCCCGAGCCTCTGCGCCCCATGGAGCTCCCAGGTGGGTCTGTCCCTGTTTTGGGGGGCTCCTGTCCTGGTAGCGGGCAGGGGTCCAGCGTGTGCTTCCCGGGGAGGGGTGGGGGGAGACAACGGGGAGATGCTGGCACTGCTCCTGCCAGGCTGGCTGGCCCAGGGAATGTCACCTAGCCAGGATGGGGACAATGGCACTTGCTCCATCCCTTATCCCCCAGGGACCCCAGTACTGGGAAGGGAAGGGGGTCAGCCCAGCTGGAAGGGGATGATTTGGGGTTCAGCATCCCCTCAGGGCGGGGGGGTGGGCAGTGCCAGGCTCGAGGTCCCTGCCCAGCCCCATGGGGACATACCTGGAGTCGAGGGGGGGGATAATGGAGGGGAAAAACTGGGGTGGGGACAGGATAAGGGGTCTCCATGAAAAGGGGGGGGGGGGGGCGAGCCCCAGGACGGGGTTATCGACCTCCCCCTCCCACCGAGCCTGAAGAGGGAGGTAAAGCATCAAACCCGGCTAAAGGCAGTGCACAAACGAGCCCGCTTTGGCTAACGAACTGTGTCATGGCTTCCGATCCCAGGAGCCCGCGCCTGGCCCGGGGAAGGGGGCTGCCCTCTCCCCCCACCCCCCGGTGCCCCCCAGCCCAGCGTGGCTTTGGGGAGGGCGGTGGGGATGAGGCAGGGCATGGAGGGGGGGCTCCACAGCCCCGCTCGGGCAACGCTGACGGCTCCGAGAGGTTTTATTGAGCTGAAAGGGAAGGGGAGGTGGGGGTCCCTCTTGTACCTGCAGCCTGACCCCCTGAAATTTGGGGGGGGGGGGTGGAGGGTGAGGCTGGGGAGGGGCAGAGGGGCTCCCAAGGACCAGGGCTGGAAGCACTTGCAGAAGTCCTGTCCGGGGACGGGGATGAGGAGGAGGGGGTGTCATCGCTTCTAGCACCCTTCTCGGGCGAGGGTCCTGGGTGGCTGCATGGCCCCCCACACCCCAGCGCCGGGGAGAGGTGAAAGCGGGGGGCCGGCGGGGGGGGGGTGTCTCCGTCCCCCTCCTACCGCGGGGTCCCCGCGAGCCGGGCCGCTGTCCCGCTGGTCCCTGGGCTCCTCGCCGGGATCCCCGCAAAGGGGTGACGGGGTGGGGTGGGGGGGCTGGGAAAGGGGACCCCCACTCCCCGACCCAGCAGTTCTGGGGTGCTCAGGCCTTCAGCTGGTGCCACTGTGCCACTGCCTGCCGGGGACGGGCGATCATGTCCTTCCAGTGCTTCACCTCCCCAGGGCCACTCTTCCAGGACAGGTAGATCTGTGAGGACAAGCAGCCCTTGGACCCCCAGATCTGCTCGCGGACCCCCCAGCCGCATTCTGTTCCCCGGTGCTTCCACCTTCACCCCCCACCTCCCCCTCTCCCTCTCCTCTGGGGCAAATTTTCTCCATTTATCCATTAATTTTCCATACAGCGCCGTGGAAAACCACTCGTGCCAGCCCTCCCTGCGACTGCCAGCTTGGGGAACCCTTGCCGCCCAATCGCTTCGCTCTGCCGGAGCGGGGCTCGCCGCTAATTAGGCAATCAAAAGTGATTAGCAGGCTGCTAGCCATGGCGGGGCGGCCAGGGTGTGAAGGGCACGCTCCTCTCCCCTTGCTCCGCGGCTGTTTTGCTTCTTGCACCACAACACTCCCAGCAGCTTTAAAGCAAAGCCGAGGTGTCACAGGCACCGTCTGTCTGTCCGTCCGTCCGGCTTGCTGGCTGGCATCAGGCTCTGGGCTCAGGCGATGTCCCCACACTGGGGACATCAGCACCCCTGTCCCCCTCCAGCAGCCCCTTCCCACATTTATCCCAATTTCCGTGTCTGCTTGATTATGGGGCTGCGATCAGGGATCACCGCGGTGAGCGGTAATAACGCATATTCCTGCGCTTGTTTGTCATCATTACCCTAACGAGTGGAGAGCTGGATGGATTTAACGTAAATCAAACCGAGGAGGGGGGATGAATTCCTCCGTTCCTGTCATTGCGAGGTGGTTGGTAATCCCGGTGTGAGGACGGGGGGCTGGGGTCTGTCTGGATGTCAGACATGGCCCCTGGGGACCCCCAGCCGAGCCCTGCGCCCCGTCCCTGCTCTCCCGCAGCTGGGGATGGTGCCGACGGTGGGGGGACACTTTGATTTTTGCCTGGCTACAAATAGACTTTTGGCAGGTTGAAGCTCACCCCAGCAGCACGGTGGCTTGTGCCAGGTGAGTCCTTGTCACCGCACTCCGCGGCCGGGACTGGAGATGGTGGGGGAAAGCCAGCAAGAGGGGTCCCTGCCATGTTCCACCTTCCTTCTCCAGCTTGAGATGGCACCAGTCGCCATCAACCAGGGACCCTGCTGTACCCCGTCCCACGGGGGGGGACACGTTTCTGGGGTCCCTCCACCCCTGTGTCACGGCTGTGGGACCCACCTTGCCGATGACATCGTTGCGGCTCAGCCTGTCCTTGTCCATGACGGTGATGACGATGGTCGTCTCGCGCAGCCGCTCTGTGGGGATGTCGAAGGCGAAGGACTCGTTGAAGACGGGGTTCAGGCACCGCTTCATGACCACCGTCTTCTTCTTCTCCACCCGCTTGTCCTTGTACATCAGCCACACCTTCACGTAGGGATCTGGGGAGGGGGGAGAGGAGCTGCCCTCAGCCCTGGTTGGGCGTCGGGCAGCGATGCCTGGCGTGGCAGGAGCCGGAGCTCGTACCTGACGTGCCCCCGATGTCCATGGCTTTGAGGTTACGCGCTTTGATGATGTTCACCACGATGGAGTTGGCGGAAGGGTTGTAGCACAGTGACAGCAACAGCTCCCCACGGCTTCCCTGCGGGACCCCACAGAGGATGGTAGGCGGGCACCCCAAAAACACCCGCTCCTCACTGTGGCCCCAAGTCCTGATGGGACACCCAAAGCCCCCCGTGTCTCACTGCGGGAGTGGGGTGCTGGGCTGGGACCCCCCCCCGAGCTGTCCCAAGGGTGGCCTTTGGGACAGCACAGAAAATCAGGGCAGGAGGAAATGGGGCCATCCCCAGTGGGACGCTTTCTGGTCTTGCCAGAGGCAGGAGAAAAAGAAAACGTTCATTTTAAATCTACCTCAAATGGCTTGTTTTTACCCAAAATGAGACACTTGCTTTGGATCACTTAATGCCTTAATATAAAGATTTGGGAGGAGAAACCTCCCCATCGGATGCTGAACCTTCTCGCAAAGCTTCTGCAAAGTTCCCTGTTGGGGTAGCAAGAGGGTGGCCCTGTTGGGACACCACAGGGACGGGGGGTATCCTCCCCTCGAGGACTGTCCCCAGGGGGTGGGAGGAGGAGCAGGGCCTTACGCTGCCATCGCTGCACGGCTTCAGGTCCTTCCAGAAGGTCTGCATCTGGGTGAGGTCCACCTTGTTGAGGGGGATGGACACCTCCCCGATGGGGTCGTTGCGGCTGAAGCGGTCGTAGTCCAGGACCTGGAGGTACAGCACCCGCTGCACCACCTTCTCGTAGGGGAACCCTGTGCCAGAGAGGGAGGTGATGAGGAGCTGCCCTGGCCGTGGTGAGCAGCACCCTGGCCATGGGTGCTCGTGCCACCCTGCCTCGCCATGCTGATGGGGAGATGTTGGCACCAGGCAGTGGATGGGGAGTAGATGACAGCATGAGGCACCTCTTGTGGCTTTGGGCCACCACGGTGGCTGGTAATAGAGTAATTGCCCTGTGTGCACCCACCCATGGGTGCCTGCTGGGGTGGGGGGGAAGGAGCCTCCCCCCCGCCATGTCCCCTTTTTATGGGATGCACCTCCAACCTGGCCATGATGGCTTGACCAACCCATCTCATCACCGATGGCCACCACGCATTGCTGATGGCCAACATGTTGGCAGCTCAATCTGAGCTGAGCCACCCCAGGAGGGAGGACAGAGGGTCCCACAACCACTTAGCTCCCACCCCAGTCCACCCCAGCCCCTACCTTCAAAGAGGAAGGTCTCGTTCCAGTGCGGGTTGAGGTTCTTCCGCTTCACCTTGGTCTCCAGCTTGTGCTTCTTGTCGGGAAGCAGGTAGATCTTGACAAAGGGGTCGCTGGTGCCGCTGAAGTCCTTGGCCGGCAGCTCCTGCGCCTTCATGATCTTGACGGTCAGGGTGGACTCCTGGAAGTTGTAGCCGACGCTGAATTGGATGCGGCCCAGGTTTTCCCGGCTGACGCCATCGTGCCCCTCGTCGTCCTCGGAGCCTGGGGAGAGCTGTGGCAGGGGGAGAAGGGCGGTGAGTGCAATATCAGGACCGCCAGTGGGGTCTGCAGACCCTTGTCCCCCCCCCACATTTCAGCGCCCAAACCCCACCCCAGGAGCTGTCAGAGGGCATCAGCCTCTCCCCGGTTCCCCCGCCATCGCCTCGGATGACTCCTGGCTCCGTGCCACGCGTCCCGGGGACGGGGAGCGCCAATTAGCCAAATTCCTCCTGACAGCCTGTCCCCCGACGGCTCCAGCATCGCTCCCTCGGGGCGGGAACGGCCACATCGACTCGGCTGAGCCTTGGCAGAGCGGGCTGGGACGTGCCAGAGCGCTTGTGGCACAGGGCTGGGGGGGGTGGGGTGGAGAGTGGTGGGGGTGGTGTGAGGAGATGCCCGGGGTGGGATGCTGTCCTTAGGGACCCCCTCTCCAGCACACCCCCCAACCACCCACCATGAGCATCTCGCTGGTCAGGGAGTTGACCAGGTCGGAGACGGAGGAGTGTGGCTCCGTCTTGCGATCGGATTCATCGTGCGGCGGCTGCCCGGGCACTGGCGCTGTGTTCACCGCTTTGCCGCCGGCCGGTAACCTGGGGAAAAACAAGCAGCACCTTAGAGGAGAGGGGGCCGAGGGGGAAACAGCGAGGGGGTCCCCGGGCACCCTCTCCCAGCGGATGCTGCGCCTGGGCTGGGCCAACCCCCCCTCCCCCTTGCCAAAAGCTGCCGGGTGGGCTGCGGGCGGAGCCGGGCACAACGGGGGTTGTGCCGCCGGTGGTTGTGCGTCACCCGTCGCAGCCCACCAGCCCCCCCCCCTCCCCGGCACCGAGGGGCCGAGGCCGGTGAGGTTTTGCCTGCAGCGCTGCCAGGCAGGGTTGGGTGCCAGCCGGTACCTCGCGACCCTGCGGCATGCCACCTCGGAGCACGGGAGCAGGTCCCCGTGTCCCCCCACCCCTTCCAGCCACATCCCGCCTGCAGAGCCCACGGCGGGGGCTGGGCCGGGCCGGGGTGGGGTGTGGGTGACCCACGGGTGCTTCACGTTGCGGGGTGGGCTTGGTGCTTGGTGCTAACCAGCCCTCTTTTTTTTCCTGCCATCGAGCGCCGTAGCCGGGACCACTGCCCCAGTTGTCCCTGCAAACCACCCCCCTCCCCAACCCCCACCTCCCTCCCGGCTGTGGCAGCCGGGTGTGGAGGGGCCGTGCCGGGACGGTGGGCATGGTTCTGGCGAGGGAGGGTGGGCAACTGGGAGCCGCAGCGGGCACATAGAGAGCAGGGATGGAGGTGGGTGGGCACACACCGAGGCCACGCTGCCATGTTGCACGGGGACAAGGGACACAGGCACACGGTGGCAGGGACGGGGCAGCCCCAGGTGGCTCCAGATCCAAGAGGGAGGGGGGAATGTGCACACAGACAGGCACCCCACGCTGCACACAACCCCCGCCGCGGCTCCCGCCCGTGCCGAGGTAATGGTGACAAACCAACAGACGGACCAACAGACCACCACTGGCGGGGACATGGGCACGCATGCGGGCGGGTGGGCAAAGCCACAACGCATGCCACGAGACGCCCACTGACACGCCAAGCACACGCAGACACACGCCGATGGGAGACGCCGGGGCGGGGGGGGGGGCGGGACGGGACACCTGGGGGTGATGGGGACGGAGGCACACGTAACAGGCTGCACAGCCACGCACACCGGGGCTCGCCCGCCCCGGTGGGATGGTAGCCAGGAAGGATCGGAGAGCCTGAGGGTAGCTGGGGAGGCAAATTCAGGTTAAAACCAGAGCGAAAATGAAAGCGGAGGAGCTGGCGGTGGGGACCGCTGGGCGAGAAGGTGCCGGTGGAGCCGTGGGTGCCGGGGCGGTGGTGCAGACCGGCGAAGGTCACGGACAGCAAGAGAGAGAAAGAGAGTGGGAAAGAGCAAGAGAAAGGAAGAGCAGCGTCGTCCACCGCCGGCCTGCTGGGAGGGAAGGGGGAGAGAGGAGCGGGGCGGATGGACGGACGGACAGTGGGTAGTCGCCGGGACAGGAGACACGCTGAGGAGTCGGGCTGGAACCGCTGGGGACGGGCTGGAAGGAAGAAGCTGAGAAACAGGGGATGGAGGAGACAATTCGAGGCAGAAGAGCGGGCGGTTGGCAGCACCGGGTGGGCAGGCGAGAGCGGAGCGGGGCTGGAGCCTGACCCCCTCCGCCGGCCGAACCCCCCCCCCCCAAACCTGCAGGGCCCGAGGGGACGGGGAGCAGGGGGGAGATGGAGGCGGGGAGGCCATGCGTGTGTCAGGGTGGTTTTTTTGGACCAGCGAGCTGGCAGGGGGGGGAAGCAGGGAGCGGGGTTTTGCTACGACACAGCCACCCCCCCACCCCAATTATGCCCAGCACCCGGTGTCCCCCGTCCCCTCGCCTGGCACGGTATGGCACGGCGACCGGTGCTCCTGGCAGGGACCGGCTGCTCAGCGCGACGCCGGGGAGGGAAGTGCTAAAAGATGGAGCGAAACTAAGCCGAGCAGGGTAAAAATAGCCAGTGAGCGAGAACGGTGCCAGTTCATTAACACGCCGAGCACACGGGGAGGCAGCGCCCGCCGGCTTCACACCTCCTCCCCGCTCCGGAGGGGCTTAACACCCGCTCCCGGCCGTGCGGAGCCCCTCTGCTCCTGCCAGCCCTCACCAGTGGCTGTGACTGGGATCCAGCTGGGCACTGGGGCCGGTGCTGGATGCGGTGCTGAGCCCCCGGCACCCCGGGAAGGCAGCGGGGAGCAGCCGGAGGCGAGGGGCTGTGCCGCACTGCCAAGCAGCTTGCTTGGAGGAGAAAAAGGGGGTGTGTGTGTGGGGGTGTGTGGGTGTGTCCCAAAACCTGTGGCTCCGATCAGCCTCGGGGCTCGAGCAAGGGCTGAGGACATGCCACCGCAGGGATGTCCCCATGTCCCCGCGCTGGGCTGGAGGTGACAGCAGCGCCGGTGCACGAGACACGCGTTGGGGTGGGATGCGGCTCAGTCATCGGGGAGGCGGGGGGGATCCCCCTTGCACCCCATTCTCCTCCCAGCATAGGGGATCTCCCCTGCCCTGCGCCCCGCTCCCGAGCGTGTGTCCCCCCCCCAGCATGCAGCCAGGGTTGGGGGGGGGATAGTGGCTGGGGGATGGCAGGGAGGGAGGAAGAAGGGCTGGGAGGGGATGGGGAGGGGGGGGTTGTCCTCTCGGTGCTGCTGTTCCGGTGGCAGAACCGGGGGGAGAGCTGCAGATGTCACCGTGCCCGCTGGGCCACCCTGTGCCGCTCCAACCTTCGCGCTCCACGAGGCCAGCCTCCTCCTCCTCCTCCTCCTCCACCCTGGGTGAGGCCCTCGTCTCCTCCTCCTGCGGGACCTGCCCTCGTCCTCGCTCATACCTCTTGTCCCCCTGAGCGTTCGGCTGGTTCGGCTGCGTCCCAGCAGGTTGCAGGTCGGGGATATTGGCAAAGTCATCTTGCTCTGAGAGTCCCAAAACCAGGGATAACACCACCATCCGGCCTTCCCTGCCCAGGCAGCCCCGCGGGCAGCGGGAGAGAGAGAGAAAGAGAGAGGAGAACACAGCATCAGGCAGGGAACAGGCAGGAGCAGTGGCACCCCGCAGTCCCCCGAAGGTGAGGGGACCCCAGCTCTGTGGGGAAAAAGGTGTCAGCTCCAGGGAGCCCTGGCACGTGTGGGTACCTCCGTCACCGCGCTCCTCCACCAGCGTGGGCGGGGAGGATGCCGTGGTCCTGCCGAAGAGGGGGGAGAAGGTGCCCAGAGGGGCTGGGGACAAGGGACAATGAGGGGAGTGAGATCCCAGCATCCTTCCTTGGAGGAGATGGCGGTGCCACGGCCGAGGCTCTTTGGACCGGCGCTGGTGCCGCTGGCGCAGCCTCCCCAGGGCCTGTAACCGCATTTACGTTGTGGCGCCGGGGAGGCAGGCGGGAGGGTAAACGGAGTAAAGAGCAAAAGCAAAGTTAATGGCTTCAGAAAGCGGCAACGGTAAATGGCAGCGGCTCCTCCGTGGGGAAACGGAGCGCTGGCTCGGCACGTCCTGGCTCTGTGGCTCCTGCGCACCCCAACCCCCCTCCAGCCAATTAAGACTGGAACCAGTGTCAATGCTGGGTAAACAGGGAGGAACGTGACCCTCGGGATGGCTAATGAGCCGCAGCTCAACATCGGGAAGCCGGCGAACGGAGGAACCTCTCAGTGGGAGAGGGCAGAGCCGGCACGGTGCTGGGCGGGCAGAGCCGAGGGGGGCTGGCGGTGAGGAGGGGGGGTCAGTGCCAGAGCTGGGGACTTGGAGTACCCCTGCCCGCCTGGAGGGAAGTTCTACCCTCTCTCTAGGGCTGCTTGAGGGCAGCAAAAGGGTGGGTAGCCAAATTTGTGTCTCTCCAGACCTTTCCCACCAAACCCTGGTGCAGAAGGTGCTGCGCTGACTCACGCAAGGGCAGGATCAGGCCTGTCCCTCCCTGCCCTCGCCCTGTGCACTCACCCCAGCACCACCAGCCTGTGAGAAGCACAGCTGGGACCTCAGCATCCCCTCTCCTGGGGTGCTGGGGTGCAAATGGAGATGGGGGCGGGGGGAGTGAGAGGACCCCAAGGAGGATGGAGGCCAGTGGGGGGGACCGGCTCTACGGAGGAGTGACAATGTCATGTGCCGAGAGATGGTGGCAGCGCGGGACTCAGATTAGTCCTCGGCGCTTGAGGTTTGAAAGCCGGCGCTGATCCGGGAGATAGGGTTAAGCCAGATTAAAGATCACACGGCTCCGGCAGCTCTGAGCAGGCTGCCTCTGCGGCTCCCAGCCCGGGCGGAAGGCAGCCTGACAGGCAGAGATATCGGGGACAAACAGACGGTCACCCCTGCACGGGGGCCACTGCCAGCGTGGCTGTGTCCCCCCCGCCCCCCGCCCTGCCTTCCTCCTTGGAGAAATGTCACTCCCTGGGGACCACCATCCCGTGGGCTGGAACATTCCTGCTCTGCCTGGGGACCAAAGGGGACCTGAGCACCCGGAGCAGCCGGTGTTCTGCGGCAAAGCCACGGGGGAGTGAGTGAGACCCTTCCCTGAGCCCTCGGCTGGTTGAGCTGCCCCTGCTCCCTGTGAGGGGGCCGGAGGGGACCCGGTTCTTCCTGCCGGCCATGGGCAGCATTTCCCCAAGGTGGTGCCAGATGAGTGACCATGCCGGGGCCAGTGGAAGAGAGAACAGAGAGAGCGGTGGAGAGAGCAGAGAGAGCAATGGAGAGAGCCGAGGAGAGAGCCGAGGAGAGAGCCGAGGAGAGAGCCGAGGAGAGAGCCGAGGAGAGAGAAGTGAGAGTGATGGAGAGAGTGATGGACAGAGCCGAGGAGAGAGCCGAGGAGAGAGAAGTGAGAGTGATGGAGAGAGTGATGGACAGAGCCGAGGAGAGAGAAGTGAGAGTGATGGAGAGAGTGATGGACAGAGCCGAGGAGAGAGCCGAGGAGAGAGAAGTGAGAGTGATGGAGAGAGCAGAGGAGAGTCAGTGATGGAAAGAGTGATAGAAAAAGCAGAGGAGAGAGCAGAGGAAAGTGATAGAGAGAGAAGAGACAGCGCTGGAGAGAGCCAAGGACAGAGAATAGGAGAGAGGAGAGAAGAGAGGAGAGTGGAGATAGGAGAGAGGAGGAAAGAGCAGAGAGAGTGATGGAGAGCGCGATTGGAGAGCAAAGGAGTGATGGAGAGAGCAGAGGAGAGAGCCGGGGAGAGAGGAGAGAGGGGAGCGATGGAGAGAGCCGAGAGCAGCGCACACTTACAGGAAGGACTTCATGTCCAAGCCGCGGTTGCGGATTTGCCCCACCACATGGTCCCAGCTGCCGGGATTGGAGCGGCTCCGGCCGCCAGCCGTCCGATGCTTGGAGCCGGCGGCGATGCCCTGGCGCGCCTGGCCACCGCGGGAGCCCCGGGGGTTGCCGGCGCTGGCGGAGGAGCCGCTGTGGGCCTGGAGGTGGCCCAGGCTCTGGCTGGTGGTGGGCTGGCTGTGGTTGGCGCGGTGGTGCTGGCTGAGGGGCTGCTGCAGACTTTGCTGGCGCATGAGCGTGCGGGGCCTCTGGCATTTGGGGTCGCCTGCTGAGGTGGGGATATACTCAAGGGTAGTGGCTGTGGACAAGGTGGAGTCCTCGAAACTTAGGGAGAGGAAGGGCAGAGGAGAGGAGAGAAAGGAGAAGAAGGTGAAGGGGCAAAATTGGAGGAAGGAAAAGAAGAGAGTTAGAGAGAAGATGCCCCAGCGCAGGGAGCGCTCCGGCAGGGGCCAGCGGATGCAGCGACCGGTTCCTCTGCCTCTCGGCCCCGGCTCGGCCTCGCCGGCGGCACGGGGTTCTCGTGCTGCCACCATCTCGCCCGTCCTGCCTCCCGGGCGCCGTCCCAGGGTGCTGGGGTGGGTGGGGAAGGGGCTCGGCCACGGCACCGCAGCACCCGGCCGGTTGGGTGCCCTCCCGCTCCCGCGGCTGCCAGGCAGCCGGTGCCTTCCCAGCGCGTTGGCCGACCTCGTCTGCGAGCTAATTAGGCTGCTGCATGAAGGCGAATCCCCCCGGCGCCCGCTCACGTGCTGCCAGCCAGCCCGTCCCCGTCCCCGTCCCTCCCAGCCCAGCACCCAGCCGCCAGCACCCTCGCTGCTGGGTCTCAGCATCCCCCTGTCTTGCGGGGTCATGCCGGCTGGGGGCTCCCACAGCGCTGGGGGAGGTGAGCCCCCCCCCTGCTTCGCCCCCACCCCCGGAATTGTGGCATGCCAGCAAGCCAGGTGTCCCCAGAGCCAAGCCAGGCTGCCAGTGGAGAGGGACCCCGCTGCGGTGGGAGTCCGGCCACGCTCCCAGCCCCCCCGAATTGTGGGATGGGGGTGATACGGGTACGGCCTGGGTGGGACAGGGAGAGCAGAGGAGCCCGGTGGCGGGCAGACGGGCTTCATCTAGCCGGTGGAGAGGGGAGAGCAGGCGAGATGCCGACGGGGGAAGCGGCGGTGCCCATCGCTGGCCATGCAGCCGGCCCTGCGCCGCGGCAGCAGCAGCACATGCGTGGCACGGCCCATGCAGCCGGGCAGGAGCCCCGGGCACGGCGCTGGTGGCCACAGCAGCCTGCAAAGCTGGTGGCCGCAAGACCAGGGGGGTCCAGCCAGCCTGGCAAAAAGCTCCTGGGGGTCCTTGATGCACGAGGGAAGGGTCCCCCCCTTCCAGGACCACCGCCCTGCCTGGCACCAAGAAGTCGCCTTCAGCAGCAGCCGCCGACCTTACCCCGGTCCCTGTGCTGCCGGGGTGCCGGCTGAAACTGCGTGGCGAAGCTGTGCCGTCGTGCATTGCCAGCAGCAGGGGGACAGAGAGGGAGGGGGAAAGGATAAATAGCTTAAAAAAACCAAAACAAAACAGAAAACAAACAAACAAAAAAAAAAAAGAGGTGAAGAAAGAGCGAAAGGTGAGAGAAAGAGAGGGAGGAGGGAGGGAGGTTGAGAGGAGTGGAGAGCTGGGATGGATTCGGCCCCACGGCCGAAGCCGAAGGCACGCGGGGCACTGCCTGGCTACTGCGCCGTCCCCCCCCCCCCTCCGCTCCGGCGCCTGCCGCCGACCTCCTTTCGCTTTCCTATCAAATCCTAAATTAGTTCAATTTACAACCTCTCAGTCACAGGAAACTAAATCTGGCTCCTCTCGGCCCGGCGCCAGCTGGAGGCGCGAGCTCCTGCCAGCACCGTGCCGGCGCGGCAGCACGCCCTGCCACACACCCCGCCGTGCCCGCTGGGTGCCCCCACAACCAGGGGAGGGGTACAGCAGCCAGACCCCCGGCACAACCCCCCCCCCCCAGTACCCCCAAACCCGAATGCTCTGCGCAAAAGAGATACTGAAAGGACGGATGCTTTGCCGCCACCTTCAAATCCCCTTAACTCTGCCCACGCCGCCTGCCCCGGCCCAGAGCGCGGCAGCGTCTGGCTGTCCGTCTGTCTGTCCGGCTCCTCTGGGATCTGAAACTCCCAGCCAGGCCAGTGGAGCCCGTTCCCACGGCACGGCTGCCACCGGGAGCAGAGATGCTTGGCTCTCAGCACGAAAGCCACACGATGTCTTTTTCCTAGCCGGCCCTCGCACATCCTGCCGGAGGAGCGCGGGTTTCGCTTCGCCGCTGAGACTGAGTATGGCCGAAGGCTGCGCAGCCTGCCCCTCTTCCTCCCAGCACCCGAGCTGGACGACACCAGCCTCACGCCAAAGGGGTGGCCACAGCTCCAAACTCGGGGGACACACACCAATCTTTGGGGCTTTGGGGCATTTGGGATTTGTCCCAGGCGGCAGGACTGGCCTTTCTCTTTTGAAAAGGTTTTCTCCCCGCCAACAAGGCTGGAAGAAGCAGCGGGGATGAGGCACACCAGCCCTGGGAAGTGCATTTGCCATCACCTGGCATCTCTGAGGATGCTGTGTAATTGGAGGCGGCTACGTCCCAGCACGGGGAACCGGAGCAGAGACCAGAAACGTAGGATGGAGCCCACAGCCAGCTAAATCATCGCCAGCTCCCTTTCCAGAGCTACGGTCTCTGCTGGCAGCGGAGGGTCTCACTGAGACCGTCCCCACCAAGCCCGCCCAGGCTACGAGCCCTGCAGAGTGTGCCAAAGATCTGGTTTTCCCTTAAACCTGATAAACCGCTGATTTCCCCCAGTTCTCCCCCCGTTATTGGGTGGTAGAGCCGCAAGCGAGGCGCTGGGTCTCACGGCTGTGCCGCGGGTCAGGGGAGCGCCGCGGAGGGAAGAGCCCGGCGATGGGGATGCGGGAGAGCAGCTCCTGCCTTTGGACCATCACCAAGATGCTCACCGGCGAGCCTCACCAGGGATGCCAACCCACTTCCCACCGGCACCGGGCGAAGCTGGGAACGTGCCGGGCACAGCACCCAAAGGTGCTCCTCCTGCCCGGCTGCGGCTTGAGCCCCGCAGCCCCTTCCTCTGCTCCCCCCAAGCCAAAACACCGCCGGGGGCTTGGGCAGCCTCCTTGAGCGGTGGGCTATGTTTCGATGGCCCCCATCCAAGCGCAGCCCGCGGAGGGGAACGGGTGCCCAGGCACACTGGTTTTTTTTTTGGGGGGGTGGGGGGGTGAAGGGGGTGGTTTAGGGGGGGTGGCGAGGTGCTGTGCCAGCCCGTGCGTGCTCACTCACTTGGACAGGCTGAGCTTCCCTGCGGCCAAGTGGCTCTGCACCGTGTGCCAGCGGCCTCGCGCCGCTTTCCCCGTGCCGGGCTCGCTGTGGGCAGAGACGCTGCTCCTCAGGCCGTCCTCGCCGAGCCGCTGCTTCTCCCCGGGGCGGCCGTCGCGTTCCCCTGCCAACCCCGCGGCGGCCGACGCCGTCAGCTTGGCCCCTGATAACAGAGAGCCACTGGGCCGGGCCGGCGGCCAGACCCCCCCAGATAGACATGAAGGGAGCCGGACGGACAGACGGACGGATGTGGAAGGAAGGGAGGGGAGCCGTTTGGTAAGGGTGAGGAGAGGGGGGGAGAGCCAGAGGGGGACAGACGGACAAGAGACGGACAGACAGAGAGAGAGAGAAAGAGAGACATCAGCACTGCAAAAGAAAAAGGGGTCCTGGCCGGCGGGGGGGTGCGCGGGGGCCTCGGCAAAACCATCCAAAATAAAACGGGGAGGAGGGCGAGGGTCAGGGTGAGGGGTCCCGCTCGCCGGCAGCCCAGCCCCGGGGGGAACCCGTCCCCTGCGCCGAGGGGGTGCCCCCAACGTGCAACCCCATCCTGCGCCACCGCGTTTTTGGGACACACACACACACACGGGGAGGGGGGACACCCACCGGCTGTCCCCCCGGGGGAGCGGGAAGGAGGGGTTGCTCGTCTCCATGGGGCTGCCCATGGGGTGGCGTGCAGGGAGTCTGGGGAGGAGGAGGAGGAGGAGGAGGAAGGCGAGTGGGTGCTGCCCATATACTCACTACATGGAGCAAACCCGGTAAGGAGAGACTCACTTGAGGGAAAGCCGCGGATCACCGTACGGGGCGTAAGGTGAAATGTTTAGTATAAACTCCTTGGGAGGGTAGGAGCTCCATTTCTGCTGCACTGTGTTGTCATTGTTATTCCAAAAGTCTCTGTCTAGATCGCTACAGCGGCCGGAGACCAGGGGAGAAAGAAAAGGGAAATACAAGAGAGAGAAGCTGAATTCCTGCGAGAAGGGAGGAAAAGCAGCCCTCCGCCCCCGGAGCGCTGGGATCCTGCGGAGAGAGACGGGGCGCGCGGCCGCCCACCCCTCGGACACCAACACACACACACACACACACAGAGACAGACGGACAGAGGGATGGATGGATGGAGCAGGGCAGAGCTGCGGAGAGACAGGAGCGGGTGGCTTGGCCAGCTGGGAAGGAGAGAAGGGTGGTGTGGGGTTAGAGAGGTGCTGGCGAGTGCGGTGCCGGCGCGGTGTCCCCAGCACGCATGTCTGTGCGTCCCCAGCACGCGTGTCTGTGGGTTGTCATCACACATGTCTGTGGGTCGTCGTCACGCGTGTCTGTGGGTCGTCAGCAGCCGGGTCCTGGAAGCGCACGCTGCTTGGTTAACCGTGACGCCGCTGCGTGTTGGAGACCCCTCCGGGTCCCCTCCTGCCGAACCAGCTCGCTGCCGGCACGCAACCTGAACCTCCCGGCTCCGGCAAGTCACCTGCGACGCCTCGTTGCCCGGCCTGAGCTGCGGGCTGGGGGCTGTGGAGCCCAGCAGCTCCCCACTGGCACTGGGGGACCCAAAAGGCCGCCCTGACACCCCTCAGCAATGCCCGGCAGCGACTCCGGCTGCACAGACCCTGCCAGAGCTGGGGAGGCAGAGCCCCGTGTGCTGTCCTGCCTTGAGGGGATGCGCCTCCCCATCCAGTCCTGCGGCCAGGAGCAGCTCACCACGCTGTGCCCAGGCAGAGGGGTGCCCAAGGTAGCCCCAGATGCCCGCACCCCAAAAACACCCTGAGCAGGAGGCCAGGCCAGCCAAGGGAGGAGGTTTGCAATAGCTTTACTCCAGGCAGGGGCTATTTCCATCCCTGTGGTCCAGCCTTGGCTCCTCGCAAGAGCCCTGGGGGGTGCCAGGGGGGTGCGGGGGGCAGAGTTGGAGCTGGAGTGCCCAGGAGAGCCCCCCACTGGCTGCTAACCCACCGCTGTGAGATCCCTCAGATCCTTTCTCCTTTCCCCACCACGTCCCCTGGTGCTCGTGGTCCGCAGAGCCGTACCGGGGCGTGGGCAGCGAGGGCTCCATCAGCGGGGCAGGGCTCAGGCTCTGCTGGCCCCACATCCCGGGCATCCCTGGGGATACCCACAGCACCCCGAGGTCCCCACGGCTCCATCCACTCATGCCTACAGCTCAGTGGGTGAGCCAGGATAGGCACCCAAGGGTGCTGGACAGACCCACCAAAAGCTCTCCAGGTCTCCCAGAACCCCTCTCCCACTGGGGTTGGGTGACTTGGGGACACCTCTGCCCTGACTGGGGGGGGTCCATCTCATCCTGCAGGCGATGATTTGGCACGATGGTGGGGACCATCACTCGGTCTCCCCAGATTGCCCCTGGGATGGATCTGGGCAAGCAGCTGCTGCCAAACTCCCTCTGCCAGGGCCGGGCTGGGCACAGAGGAGCAGAGGGACGGCCACCTCTGTCCCCAAAAAGGGACCTCCCTGCTTCTGATGGGGACGGCACCCATCCGGCACATGTCCTCACATGGGCAGGGCACCCACGCCTGGGGGAACAGCGTGTGGCAGAGGGCAGGGTGCTGAGTGGGCTCCGGCCGTGCCAGACCCATGGGCAAAAAGGCTCCCAGCACTGCAGCCTCCCTGGCCCCTCTTCCCCCCCCTACCCTGGCACCTACTTGATGGTTTTCTTTTCACTGCGGCCTCGGCTGGAGTCTGGAGTTCCCACAGTCTCCAGGGAAGTCTTGTAACGCTTACCCTGCGGAGAGGAGAGGAGATGGGGGGGGTCAGGGGGTGGCAGGGAGACCCCCGCGCCGCCGCAGCAGAGGACGGGGATGGGACCTGCCAGGGCTGCACCTCCCTCAGCTAGAGGGTTTGACGTGGATTTTGCCCCTTTTCCCTTAAAATCTCCCAGTTACCAGGCTCCATCCCACCGAGCAGGGCAGCAAAATTCCCCGATAGCTTCATCCCTTGGCACTGGGGAGACACTGGCCTGGCCACCCTGGCTCCTGGGAACCGTTGCCAAGGGGGTGGAGGACAGGGGGGGGCTCATGCCCTGCATCGCCCCAAGGACAGAGCAGCAGCCACCGCCTGCATACCCTTCCATGGCCTCACTGAGGGAGGAGTGGGTAATCTTAGGATTAATTGAACCTGAATTAATTGAGTTCACCTGCCCCACCGAAAGGG